AATCCGATAGTGGAGTGTTTGGATCCCTCTTCATACCCCATTGTGCAAATAAAGAAAATAACATTTTCATTTTGTGTATTTTGCGTATTTGGATTTTCTCAAAATGACACAATTGTAAAACGGATATGAAACAATGTAAACAAATTACAAACACACATACTTATAGGATTTACATACATACATATGTATGTATATAGTACGAGTGTATGTTTTATTGCAAATAAGAGAGTGGGTGTATAGAAATATGTACATATTATATATTTATTTGTTTAAATGTATGAATCCATGTAAATATGTATACAAGTAAACAACACAAATACACACAAGTACTTTTGGAATGCCAACATTAAATAAAGTTTGTATAATTTACAGCAACATTTTAATAATAATAAACAAAATTCTTGTGATCTTTTACGTAGTGAAGCAAACGAATGTTTAAAATAAATTCAATGATTCCATTGAATAAAAAATAAAACTGAAAAGAAATGAAAAGCTGTAACATTTAAAGTATTTGCTGTCACTGAATGAATGCATGAATACATAAGTTACCCAAAAATATGTTTTTATAAGTTAAGTTTAGAAATGTTAGATGTAAATATTGTTCTATTAGATTTTCTGCTTTGAAAATTTCTATATAATTTCTGTGAAATGAAATCCTTGACGAGTAGCATTGGGGATAATTTGGGATAATTTTAGCAGAGTTCTAAAAGTTTTGTAAGGCATATAGAAATGGGTTAAATATGTACCGATATTCGGACCGATCCTCACACGTTTTATCAAATAAATAAGTAAGAGCACGCATTGCGAGTACTGGAGCTATCTAATCTCTGATCAAAGCTACGCATCTTTGCGCAACTTGCGAAATGCTTTAGAAATATTGTTAACGTTTAAAACCACGCAGATGAAATGGCCTGTGTTGATTTGGCAACAGTACCTAGAGAAGTAAAGTAAGCCAAAGACGCTGTACTGTTCGAAAGTATTCCTAGATGCAGACCTTACTTTCGGCATAAAGATCCAATATGTAAGAGAAAACGTCTGCTACCTTCAGGTGGACATAAATTAGCGAAGTCTTACCTTTCAAACCGTCTGCGAGACTCCAGCTATGGATCATGTTGTTTTCAATAAAATAAACATGATCCATGCCTACATTATAAAGGACTTCTTAATGGATCATGTACTTCGGCAATTTTTACAGGGGAGTAGTTTTGGGATGTTCCTTCCCTGCATAAATTCAGACTACTCGTCACACGCGTGTAAAGAGTACTCCTTAAAAGACTAGGACTGGTCCAAAACTAATCCAAAAATATATTGTGTGGAAAATAATACTCCATTTAACATTGTAATGCCCAAAGTGTGAACCACGTAATATGTCCATACATTGAATCAGAATCAGAGTAGTCGCAAAACTACTCCCTTGCTAAAATTATGGGAGTACATTACTCGCAACAAGATCCCATATAATACAGGCTATGGACCATGATGTTTTCAATAAAATAAACATGATCCATATCTACATTACAGAGGACTTCTTAACGGATCATGTATTAGAATAATTTTTGTAGGGGAGCAGTTTTGGGATTACCTAATTACCTTGGTTCCGAAATATTTAAGCAAAACATAATTTTCTATGGGGGCTAAGAACCGATACGTCTAAAATTTGTAGAATGGATGTATTTTAACATAAAATTTCATTGCGGTACCGGTGGCTCATTGTTTAAAAAGCCAAAATTCGGCATGATCATCATGACTTGTAACTTAATTGTGCCCATATAGGTATTTATGGGGCCTAGTTCCTGATTCAAAAGCAGAGACGGTCATTCCAAGTCGATTCGTATACTCTAAGAGCGAGTTTCATACTACTCAGTTAAACTAGGCTTAACTTGCTGTTAGATTAAACTCGGAACAAATTTATATCTTAGGTTTAATTGGCCTATAACATTACCAATATTTTTGTGCGTTACAAACATCAGCACAAACCCAACATAGCCTAAAGTGGTGTAGGGTATAACTAATTATAATATAATGTTAAAAACTGAAGAAATTTTGAATCTATTCGATTTAAAATTTGAGCCAGAGATTTTCCCTTCCAGTTAATGACCGGTTATTAACATTAATAGAAACAAATATGTATATAAGATTTTAGAATATATGTATATGTATGTAGTTATATTCGTATGTACATATTTATTATTTCTAAACAATTTACACAAAACAAGGAAATGATATAAATGGGCACAAGGTAGACTTATTCAAAATAAAAATGAAAGTTTTCCTCATCACGTATGTATATTATGACGTATTTAAAATTTTAACAAAAGCAAAAAAAACTGTAAAAATTTATGCAATGGAAATAATAAAACACAAACTAAGAAAATATTTCTAAATCCATCTACATACAGCTAGACAAACGAATGTTTTATCTAACTATAGTTTAAGTAGTATAGGGTTTTAAGATTTCCGGAACATTTTCAAAAAATTTATTTTAATCTTCTCAGTTTCCTGGACGTAATTTCTAAGAATTTTCCCATCAGTGTTAGTCAGGAATATGTTATTTCCGGATTAACATCACTTCCAAGATACTTGGATCTAACTTCGACCAATGCCTGACAGTGGCAAAGAAAGTGCTCCAGAATTTCACAGATCTCTCCACATGCTCTACATTCGTCTGAAACGGCGCCGGCCAATTTTGTATAGATGTGCTCGTAATCCTGTGTGTCCTTATAGGATTCTCTCGCCCATCTTTTTAATTCAGTTTTTGTTGCGTCGAAAGGTTTGCTCTTCGCTCTTTCTTTAATGTTGGAGAAAGATTCTAAATGCGGTTACACGAGAACTCAAGTAATATGATCTGTCAAAATTTTGTGTAGAAGAATACGGATGGGATCGTGTAAACGATATGGATGCAAAATTTAACAGTCTCTCTTGATTTTTTGAAATGATTCAAAAAACAAGCAAGTCGCATTAGATCAGGGATGTATTTTTATATAAACACATAAAAAAAGTGAAACAGCTGTTTTCATCTTACTTTGTTATTGTTTTTAGGGTTCTATAAATCTTCTTTGAATAATCGAACAATCGACTTTTTGTCGAAAAAAGTCAAATAAAGTCGAAAAGTCGTAAAAAGTCGAAAAGTCGGAAAAAGTCGAAAAGTCGGAAAAAGTCGAAAACTCGAAAATAGTAGAAAAAAGTTAAAAATAGTCGAAAATTTTAAAAAAGTGGAAAAAAGTCAAAAACTCTAAAATAGTCGGAAAAACTCGAAAAAGGTCAAAAAATAGTCGAAAAAAGTCGAAAAAGTAAAAAAAAATCGAAAAGTCGGAAAAAGTCGAAAGAAGTCGGAAAAAGTCGAAAAGTCGACTATTTATAAAATACTTAAAGTCAAAAAGTCTAAAGCCGACTTTTATTTAAATGAAAAAAGTCGAAAAATCGACTTTTCATAAAATGCAAAAAGTCGAAAAATCTACTTTTAACTAAATGAAAAAGTCGACTTTTCGTTTCAACTATAGAACCCTAATTGTTTTATACCAATCGTGTTAACACAAAAAATATAAATCATACGACCAGTGTGCACTCATAAGGTGAAGTCTCTAAATGGTGTACTTTGACAGTTGTGTCTACCTCAAATAAAAAAAATGAGTGATCAGCTGTTGACTTCACCTTATGAGTACAGCCTACACTAGGGTTCTATAAATCGACTTTCGAATAATCGAACAATCGACTTTTTGTCGAAAAAAGTCGAAGTCGACTATTTTGTTCCAAAAAAGTCGATAACTCGACTATCGTCTATGAAAAAAGTCGAAAAGTCGACTTTGTAAATAAAAGTCGAAAAGTCGGAAAGTCGAAAAAAGTCGAAAAGTCGAAAAAAGTCGAAAAGTCGAAAAAAGTCGATAAGTCGAAAAAAGTCGAAAAGTCGGAAAAAGTCGAAAAGTCGACCATTTATAAAATACCAAAAGTCGAAAAGTCTAAAAGTCGACTTTTAAATAAATGAAAAAGGTCGAAAAGTCGAAAAATCGACTTTTAAATAAATGAAAAAGGTCGAAAAGTCGAAAAATCGACTTTTCATAAAATGGAAAAAGTCGAAAGGTCGAAAAGTCGACTTTTAACTAAATGCAAAAAGTCGAAAAGTCGACTTTTCGTTTCAACTATAGAACCCTAGCCTACACACGACTTTTATTTTCTTTTTTGTCATACGGATGGAATATCATTTTACTTTTTCATTAGACTTTACGTATGTAAAGTGTGATCGTGTAAAGGATCCATTAGCGGTAACTGACTGAACTTTAGAACTACGACACCATCTATCGGAAAAAAAAAACTTTACACTTCACACGAACCCATAGTTTTGCCCTATTAAGTGCAGTAATTTTTGAGTTTATCGATTATGAACGAAATATTACTCTTTGATTAAGTTTTTTTTTTATATCTTTTCGGAAACCCTTATATGTTTATTACCCACCAACATATGTAATATGTGTTATTTTCTCTAAACATTGGAACATGTTTTTAAAATAGTATTCTTACAAAAATCTAATGATTTGAAGGCACTTTTAAGGTTTCCTATTGAGGTATATTGACATGGGTCTCTTATTTCTTTCTTTTTTTTTTTTTTTTTTTGTACATTGAGTTTTTTGCTCGTTTTTTAAAGCATTTTTAACGAATACGTCTCGTCAATTGTAAAAACCAAAATAAATAAATAACAATTTAAGCAAAAGGTACAATTTAACCTTAATGGTGGGGGAACCATTTGGTTAGTTCTTAAACGCTGAAATTTACCCAATTATTTGGACAAACAAAGTTCGCCTTCTGTAGCCTATAGTTTAAGAAAATTTTGATTTCGTAAGTTAATTAAAAACGTTTGTTGTTCGTCTCAGTCTCTGCTATTTTAACAAACATTTTCCCATTATAGAATTGTTTTTTTTTTTTTTTTTGTTCTTTTAGAAAACAATAATCAATAGACTGACCACCACCACGGGAAACTAGAATAAAAGAAAATGCTCACTAAGTCAGTTAGTTAGTCAATGATTGCATATCACTAATTTTAATTTCAGTTTCGAATAGTACTTGACTGCGGTCGCTCGAAATCGGTTAAAGTTTTTCGCAAACATTCTTCTCTCTTAAATGTATTTTAATTACCAACCAACTAAATAAACTTAATTAATTCCTATTAAATATTAAAATACAAAAAAAAATTATACAAACTTTTTGTTAATATAGTTTTTATATTTAATGCCTTAAAAATTCCCATATAATTTAATTAAAAATGGTGCAAATTAATGCGTCTAGTGGTGAGTTTGAATGTGAATTTTTCTAATTACGAAACGGCTGTCAAAGTATTTTGTGTGTTTTAAAAAAGTGCTTATGTAATTATTTCATAATTTAACAATTACTTAATCAAAACTGTATTTAAATGGATTAAAATTTTCATCAAAAATCAACTGTTAATGTAGGTATACAGATTTCCATGTTGGTTACCTTGTAAAGTTCATGAATATTTGCTAAAAACCTTGTATTCATTTAAAGGTGAAAAAGTGTTATAATATAATCATTGTATTTCAAAAAAACAACCCACAAATATACTCGTAAATAGCTTAAATCTTATTTAAGCAATTACATGTGGTATTAAACATATTTGTTTCGCCATGTTTTTTTTACGTTTAAACGATTTTTAACAACAATTTCCTTCCTCAAACTTTTACCTTCAATTTTTCAAATCAAAGCTTTTTACGTCGTTCAAAATGTTAAGCTATTCGTCATAGTAGTCTCAACACTAGGAGATATTTTCAGATTAAATTTTTTACGATTTTGGCTTGCGATTGGATGGGGTGCCATCCGACTTCACAGATTTTTAATTTTTGGGAAGCGCTCGGCCTAGGGTCTATTACGTACTAAGAAAAATCGATAAAAATAGATCCAAACTTTTGAAATTTTGAAGGATAAAAAAACTATCAAAAGACAAAGGCAATTCTCAAAAATTGTAGTAAAACAAGTAAGAAATTATAGTCGGGCGAGGCCGACCATATAATACCCTACACCTTTGACAAAAATATAATGTGATTTAGTTGCCATAATAAAGCATTTAAGTTGAATTGTACCTTGCCTTAGATATACATACTTAAGTTGAATAAAATTGTGGACATTTAAGTGAAATTTTGATGGAGGCTTTTCATAGGGGCTAGGGTCATATGAGAACCTAATGTTATGGAATACGTGAGGGTCATCAAATCTTGTATACAACTTGGTTTTTGCAGCTTTTGTCGAGATCTGAGTATATTAAACATAATTATGAACTTAAAAGTCCTATTCGGCAGGTTCAGTTGTATGGGGGCTAGGTGAAATAATGAACCGATGTAAACCATTTTCAACAGGCTTCGTCTACGGTACCATAAAAGATCATGTGCCAAATTTCATTGAATTATCTCCAAAATTGCGACCTGTAGTTTGGTTACGAGGTTTAAAAGCCCCATTCGGGGGTTCAGTTGTATGGGGGCTAGGTGAAATAATGCACCGATGTTAACCATTTTCAATAGGCTTCGTCTACGGTACCATAAAAGATCATGTGCCAAATTTTATTGAATTATCTCCAAAATTGTGACCTGTAGTTTGATTACAAGGTTTAAAAGCCCCATTCGGGGGTTCAGTTGTATGGGGGCTAGGTGATATAATGGACCGATCTTAACCATTTTCAATAGGCTTCGTCCCTGGGACAATAGAAGATCATGTGCCAAATTTCATTAAATTATCTTCAAAATTGCGACCTGTAGTTCGATTACAAGGTTTACATGGACGGACGGACATAGCTAAATCGACTCAGAAAATGATTCTGAGCCGATTAGTATACTTTAAGGTGGGTATAGGACCAATATTATTGTGCGTTACAAACATCAGCACAAACCCAATATACCCTCCCCACTAAAGTGGTGTAGGGTAGAAATACCAAAAAAAGATTTTTTGTACAATTTCTACATTTCTCTCGGAGCTGAGACAATAGTGTTTCTCGTAACCCAAAAATTTTGATAAAAAATAGTTGAAATTCGGAAGAACACAGGAGCGATAAAATTTTTCTAACAAAGTTTTCTCCGTAAATATTTGTTTCAGAAACATTTTTAATAAAATAAAGAGTCAAATTTTTAATTTTAATAAAAAATAGTTGAAATTCGGACTAACACAGGAGCAACATAATGTTTATACCAAAGTTTTACCGTAAATATTCCTTTCAGAAATTTTTTTAATAAAAAAGTTTCAAAACACCTTTTCGCCAAAAAAACGCAACAATCTACCTTTTTTATTGTTAAATTGAACATCGTTTATTTTAGAATCCATAAATCTGAAATTTTATATATATACATACATATATGTATATTATTTGTAATTTCGTTTAAAGATCTCTAAACTATCTATCTTTTGCCATACATATTACCAGTCTACAAAACTTGCCATCCATTATACATCAAACAATATAGGAAAAATCATGATATATTCAGAATTTTGAAAAGAAAATATCGCGAAAGTATGTCTGTCTAGAATGGCGTACAATTTGGATCCTGGAATTATCGATATTACTCATCAAATTAACTGAAGAGCACCTTATTTGAGAGGTAGGGTGAATTATTGACCGTTTTTCATATAAATTTTCATAAAATTTTTTAGACCGATCATCGCTGTACTCGCATTTTTATGCCAGTAATTAGCATTAAAGTAATTTTCTGAAGGAAGGCTTATATAAACGGGTAGGGTGAGTTATTGACACTTTCCGCATGAAATTCGGTAGGAAGATTTAAGTTCCTTTAAAAGTTTCTTATATCAAATTTCATAACGATCGTTAAAGTAATTTTCTGAAGGGGACCCTATATGCGGGTAGGGTCAATTATGGACCGCTTTACTCGTATTTTTAAGCCAGTAAGGGCTTTAAAGTAATTTTCTGAAAGCGAGCTTGTATGGGGGTCAATCATTTACTGATTCTCATAAAAGTCAGTAGAGAGGTTTTGGCTAGTGTGGCCAATTATGGACAGATCCACATAAAATTTGGTTAAGAGATTTTAGTTCACAAGGAACTTACTTGAGGGGACCTTATATGGGGGAAGGGTCAATTATGGACCGACCCATATAAAATTTGGTAGAGACGTTTTGTCTTGTAAGAGACTTACTTATGTCGAATTTTATCGCTATACTCGTATTTTGAAGCCAGTAATGAGCGTTAAAATCATTTTCTGAAGGGGACCTTATATGGAGGATAGGGTCAATTATGGACCGACCCATATAAAATTTGGTAGAGAGATTTTGGCTCGTATTTTTAAGCCAGTAATGAGCGTTAAAGTGATTTTCTGAAGGCGGCCTCATATGGGGAGTAGGGTCAACTATGGAACAATCCACATAAAACTTCGTAGATTGATTTTGGCTAGCATGAAACTTACTTATGTCGAATTTCGAACCTACTCGTATTTTCAAAACAGATATGACCATTGAAGCTGTTTTTTTGGGGATCCACTTGTATGGGGGTTATCCGAAAATATGAACCGATATTGCCCATTTTCAGTTCCAAACAAACCTTACCCATAGAGAATATTTGTTGTGTTGACAACACAACGTTGTCAACGTTGCAACAATTCGTTGTCGCAATATAAATTTTATACTCATCCGTTGACTAAAAGTTAACAAACGTGGTAAGCTCACTGTTGACAATGGATTGTGAGCTTTCATCGATACCAAATGCCGCTTAGATAAGATATTCTAAAGTTAATATTGTCATTCTTATTTTCTTTAAACATCCTCTGATAATTGAACAGGCCTCTATCGGGCCTGTTGTGGGTTTCTTAATCAGTGGGAATCGAACCTACTACCTGCGGTCTACCAGACTAGAACACTAACCACTAACCAATTTTCAAAGCTTTGAAATTAACGTAATAAAAACATTTGCTTAATTAGTTTTATAGGGTTACCATACCGCATATAGCAATATTGCCACCTTGATAATATAATTGTAAAAAAGCAAAGCTGGAAACATTTAGGTTTAAAAATCAACAGAAATTGATGAAATTTTAAAATAAAAATGTTGTAAAACTAATTGTAACGAAAAGTAATTTGTGTGTAGATCATATAAGAGACCTAGTAGTCGTTTAAACATATTAAAAGAGTAGATTTCATATAAAATTTTAAATATTAAGGGTATTCATGAAACACGTGTGCAAACTTGCACATTTGCACAAATGGCTATCTGCATTATTTAGAAGAAAACAATTAGTTTAAAATGATCAGTTCAAATATGCGATCAAATGTATCAGTGTTGTGGAAGTAAAATCCCACACAATTTGTGACAAATTTAATGTAAAATTGAAAATGCACAGATTGCACAGTTTGCGAGGCTTTTGAACGTTTATATGAAAACCCCTATTGTTTTATTATCTTCTTTTTGAATATGGGCCCACCAAACATCTACGGGCCTATATATAAAATATGTTAATCGTATGATTCTAAAATGATCACAAAGTTGGAAATAAAACATGTTTGTATTTTGTATGTTAAAAATCAAATCAAAATTCGGTAAACATTTTATCTTTCGAATTGAATTTAATAATATTTTGGAAACCTTTAATAAACCTGTATTTAATGAAAATTATTAAAAAAATTTTCAAAATTTTAATTATAAAAACAAAGTATTTTCTTTTTGGTTAGTTCCATAATAACATAAAAATTTGGCAGTCGTTTCCAAAAACTACAAGTTTTAACAATTACTTTTAATAAATAACTTTTAAATTCAATAAAATTTAGGTCAGGTACAATCCGTAACTTTAGATAAAACAGGAAAGAAATCCTTTGGTCTAAGTATAGTACGAGGAGAGGTAAGTAAAATATCACAACATTAGGAGCAAGATTTCCAAATTTCCTTAAGGGAAGACGGTTTTGAATATTTCAAAGTTTCAATACTAAAGTATAATATCTGCCGGTCCACACTAGGAAACTTTTTTTGGGAAACTTTTAATTTTGCGTGAGAGAGAAAGAGAAAGAATATCTTTCATCTCTCTCGCGGTACGGAGTTTCTTGTACTCGGAAACTTGTTTTGTTTTGTTATTCTTCTCATTCGTACAACAACAAATCAATGCAATTAATACGTAGTTTCTGAAACAAAAGTTTCTATGTGTGGACCAGGTCTATCTTCCCTTAGGGAGAACTGTAAAACCCAAGCTAAATTGAATATAATAAACTTTATTTTTGTATAAAAACAGACCAAAGATGGAACAAACTCAAAAGGCATATTTATTAAGGGCATAGTACCCGATAGTCCGGGTCATTTATGTGGAAAAATTAAGGTGGGTGATCGTTTGCTAACACTAAATGGCAAAGATGTACGCGATGCCACAGAACCGGAAGTAATTAATTTGATTAAACAGGCGGGCAATCGAATTGATTTAGAAATACAAAGCTATGGAGGGGTAAATTTGAAGAAATTAAAACTATTTTATTTAAGTTATTAAATCATATCTTTTAAAGGAACAACACAACAAAGATGGTAATGAAATTAAGGAAAATGGTTTTTCACAAAATCGCAATATGTTTAATCAGGGTAAAGACATGTTTAAAAACTTAATTGAACTTCTTTAAAAGACTTGAAACTTTTATAGCTTCCATTAAACAAGCCCCCATGAAACAAACGCCCTTGAAACCACAACAATCTATTAAACAGGCTCCTGGAAGGCCGCCCAATGTTAATGCCATGCTGAAAAATTCAAACATAACTTCTAATCTCAGCAGTAAAATGGATATGGGCGATGATGATGACGAAGATACACGCGATATGACCGGTCGCATAAGAACTGCAGCTGGTATTGAGGTAAGAGAACAACTTTAACTGTAATTAATATAAGGGAACTGAAATATCAAATTTTCTCTAGATTGATCGTGCTTCCGCCGGTAACTGTAAATTAAACAAAATGGAAAAAGATCGAGATAAAGAAACCGAAGATGAGTTTGGCTATACCAAAGGTAAATGTTTTTACTTATAATGGATTAAAGATAAACTCTATAGGAAGTAACTCTGCTATTTTTGGAGTTTAATCTTTAAAGTGATGTAAATACTTTTATTACTACAAATATTTATCTTTTAGCTAAAATCAATAAGCGATACAATACCATGAGGGACTTGCGTAAATTGGAAATTACTCGACCCACAAATACCGCCTTGGGCTTGGCCTTGGCAGGTCATAGTGATCGTCAAAAGATGGGTTGTTTTGTGGCCGGTGTTAATGCGAATGGACCTTTAGCCAATGTAGATATAAAACCGGGCGATGAGATTTTAGAAGTGAACGGTACTGTTTTGAAAAATCGTTGCCATTTAAACGCTTCGGTAATATTTAAAAATATCGATGGCGAGCGTTTGGTTCTGATAACATCTCGCCGAAAACCAGGCGATGAGGGCATGAGTGTAAAAACGATTAAGAAATTCCCACCAGAAATTGATGATGTAAGTTCGAATTGCTTGAAATAGTTATTTTATCTAAAAAATACTTATTTCCTAGACCAAATTCCTATTCGAGCAATTCCCCAAAGCCAGATCAGTGCAGGTGAAAAAGGAAGGTTTTCTGGGTATAATGATAATCTATGGTAAACATGTGGAGGTGGGCAATGGAATTTTCATATCAGATTTGCGCGAGGATTCAAATGCTATGATAGTAAGTTAAATGTTGACCCTAATAGCAAGTTATCCGTTATCATATATTCATATTTTTCAAAGGCGGGTTTAAAAGTCGGCGACATGCTGCTGGCCGTTAACAAAGATGTCTGTTTGGAATCCAACTATGACGAGGTAAGATCGTACTTCTGCTTTATTTACCAATAGACAATTTCTTACATTTTATTTCGGTTTTTGTCTATAGGCTGTGGCGTTGTTGAAACGTTGCGAGGGCATAGTTAATTTGGTCGTTTTAACCTTAAAATCTGATGAGCAACTTAAGAAAGAGAAAGAAGAGGAGGAAAAGAAAAAGAAGAAGGAAGAGGAAGCCACCAAAGAACCAGAAAAACCCGCTGATCCAGCAACGGTACAAGTCGAACCGGGTCGTAAATTTGTCCTAGAGATAAAAACTGACAAGAAACCTTTGGGTGTAATTGTAGTGGGTGGCAAAAACAATTATGTCAAGGTAGGCTAAATTGTATTACTATTGTATTTATTCCTTTAAAACTAAGTATTACTCCTTAGACGGGCTGTGTTATAACCCACATTTATCCGGAGGGCATGATTGCTGCCGATAATCGTTTGAAAATTTACGATCATATAATTCAAGTAAATGGCAAAGAACTCCAATGTGAAGCTATGACCACTTTGAAAGTTCATCAATTGTTCTATACACTGTATGAGAAAATTGTCACTATACAAGTATTCCGCGCCGATCCACCGGAAGTGGAGACATTTAAGGTGGAGTTTACTAAGAAAGCTGGCAAGGATTTGGGTCTTTCGTTGGCACCCAATGAAAAAGGTTGCACAATTTCAGAAATTGTAAGTTAATATTCTTATTTGAATTATATACAACCCGAACTGACGTATTAGTGATCGAACAAAAACCATTTTTTTTAATCGAAATACCAATTTCTAAACGAGAGTATTATAGAAAATTTCCTTTTTAGACTTCTGCTGGTTATGCTGATATCGATAATAAACTACAGCGCGGTGACATTATAACTAAATTCAATGGTGACTCATTGGAGGGAACAACCTTTGAAGTTTGCTATGCCTTATTTAGAGGAGCCACTGGTAAAATATCTCTGGAAATAACTAGACCCAAGCCCACTGTACGTACAGAACCACCAAAATAAATCCACCAAGATTAGAGGGAAACCTTAAGCGGGAAATTGCGATAAAATTTGCTATTGTTTTAAAATTTAATTTTTAAGCTATTTTCAAAAGAAATCCTCCAGCTAAAAATAAAACGTTCGGTAAATTGTTTTAAACTAAATAATTGATTAAATAAAGAAAATAAAAAAAATTAACAGATTATTTTTTGTGGTCACTTTCTTTTGTTTATTTTGTTTTTGTAAAATAAAAAAATTTAAGCAATAGAACTGGCGTTGGAGGCAATACGGGGCCACAAGTCAGCGCATTCCTTGGCGACGGGACCAGTAATGGCGGAACCTTTCATTTCACCCTTATTATTTACTATCACCCCCGCATTGTCCTCAAAGTATATAAACACGCCATCCCTCCTTCTGAAAGGTTTTCTCTGGCGAATAACCACAGCGGGCATTACCTGTAATAAACGACAAAAAAAGAGAAGAAAACAAAATAAGTATAAAGAAATGTAAATCAAAAGAATATAAAAGAAAACGCTAACACAAGATAATGTTTTACACATGATTTATTTTGGACAACAGAGTTTTAGCAACAAATATAATGATGTTAAGAGGAGATTGTACAATATTGTGTGGTTGTTATAGAAATAGTTTATTTTTATGGAATTTAACAGTCGATTGATTTTCACTTGCAATTTCTTAAGACTCAAATTAATTGAAAATGGAAGGTAATAAATTTAGGTAGTAATTACCATGGATCGTAAGAATATTAGTCTTGTTCATCATGCCCGAAATTTTGTTTATAGAAAACCAATTTTCTTTCATTTCTACCCAAATTGATAATGTCAGATAGTAATTGTACTAGTCCGCTTAGGATCACTGTCCGATTCCATATTACAATGTTAATATGTCCATAAAATTTCGACATTTTAATCCATTGAAATATTACAAATTAGTTCAATATCGATTTGCCTTAATATCCTAAAGGCCAAAATGTTAAAAACAACATGAGTGAACTATTTCTGATTTCTAGAAAAGAAATTATCCAATTTAAAAATCCATAGTTGGTTTAACTCCTCATAGGGATCCTATTCCTTATGCTCATAAATCTCACATACCTATCGATATTTTTTGATCAAAATCGATACATAAAATTCACAATAGAATAAATTATTCAAAATCTTTTAGGATTGGTTTATAAGTTTACACTTTCACATTATATCTTCCGAAATTTAATTTCAGACACAAATATACTATTTCAAAAGTTAAAGTTGTATTGAATCGGGTCATAATGACTAAAATCTATTTAAATTCCTATATCGTTATCTACTATAGGGTACCATAAAGCCGGACAAGTTTAACAAACTTTCTTGTTTTTAGTTGATAAGAATTTTTACTTCAATAGAACTAACATAAACTAACGTTTACATAGATCGGTATAATCAATTTTGAACCCTGCATTAAATTGAAGGCCGGCTTTAATTAGGAAGTTCACTTCAAGTCAAACGCCGGCCCGGCTAAAAAAACATGAACGGGTAGAGAAGAATACTAAGGCCGGACAATGTCAAACACTGACTTTAGTTAGTAACTAGGAATATTAGATCTTTATACTGTGATAAAAGATAAATGCAAACATTAAATAACCAAACGTTATAGGACTTCAATTTAGGTATTAAGTGCAGACGCCAAACCAAAGATATAAAACAATATTTGCGATAAAGTATTTCACTCTTTTAGGCTACAAAACTGTACCAAATCATAACAATTGGCTAATAAAGCCACTTAATACCCAAAAACACTGATCACATTTTCTTTTGTATATTCCTACAACAACAACTAACACACTATGTATAAACCACACCATCTATTGTTGCTCCTCTTAACATCACTTCAACTTTCAATACACTTACCTTCTTTCTCAATTCTGGTTTACCCTTCTTAACGGTGGCAACAAACATATCACCAACACCAGCAGCTGGCAAACGGTTCAAACGACCACGGATACCATGGACAGCGATGACAAACAAGTTCTTGGCACCTGGATTTGCAAAAAGAAAACACAAAATTTCAATAACACTTTCATTGATAATCAAACTCAAAATTTGGCATATTCCAAACACAAAACTCACCTGTGTTGTCAGCACAGTTCATGACAGCGCCAACAGGCAAACCAAGGGAGATGCGGAATTTTCCTCCCGCGGTACCACCACGTCCTATTTTTCACATGTTAAAGAAAAAAAACACAAAAATAATTCATTTAGTTTATTGTCCATAATATTTAACACGTTTTCTTTTTAGTAATTAATAACTTTAATTTACACATTTTTTCGATTTTAAAAGATTAAATTAGAAAAAATTTTCACCTCTCTTAGACATATTACGGCTGGTTCACAATCAAAAGGAAGTCAAAAGAAAGAAAAAAGAGAAAAACAATTGACAAGTACAATTTGCGGCCAACTTCGGGTGGGTGTTGCCAACCATTTTGCCTATTTATGCAAGGTTGTATTTGAAGTGTAGTATGTCAGTATTGTTTAAGTAGAGTTGTATTTTAGGAATATTTTATTACTGTAATTTTATCTTTATAATAGTTGTGTTTTGTTGCTAACGTTCAAAGGCAATTTCATATAAATTTAAAATTTATAAACGTTAGGAGTTAACGTGTAAAATTATACAAGTTAATTTTAACGTCGATAAAAGTGCTACCAATTCAAAAATAAAAATACAAATATTAATGTGTTTATGTCAAACAATAAAAAAATATTTTAAAATAAAATTTAAATCAAAAAAAATATCAAATAAAAAAACCTTTTTTAAGAAAATGTAAATAATTTCAAGATTTAGCAGATTTCTTCTGTGGAGTGATGCCAAGTCAGGTAATGTTCGTTTTGTTGCTAACTTTAAGCGTTAACACTCATTGATAGCAACAAAACACAACTATTAATTAAATAAACAATTATATTATATATATATTTGTTTTATTTATTATTAAATTTATTTTTTTCATTTTATTTAAATTTAAATATATAAGAATACGGAAGTTATACCCATATTAATTTTTTTGTCGAATAAATAGGAAGGTTGGATGGTGAGGGCCCACCATACAACAAAATAAATGCATGCAAAATGGGGAGGTGTGTAACTAATGGCGTGGATGATGTTAAAACATCCCAACTGAAATAAGATGAAAATATCCAGAATTTTTTAAATTTTTGGTGTAATGAAAAAAGTATGTAAGTGGAGAATTAAAAAATCGTAGAGTATAAAAATTTGTGACCACACATTATTCAGTTATGTAATATTGAAATCTACCATCCTAATATGTAATAAAAGTACACTGTAATTTTTAACTTAAAATACTCTGAATACAAAAATAATTAAACTCCCATATTATTACAGTGGTTTTCGGTTTAAAGAAATATAGGTATAATGTCAAGTTATTAAAAATAGTGTTTATATCTATATTTGACAATATTTCACCTATATGTCTAAAAAATTACTGAAAAAGTAGATCGTTTTATCCGAGGAATCGATTATTAACTTTTGTTCGTTATAACAGATGTTTTTATATGCAAATAGTTACCAAAATATCGGGACTTATATTGTTCGTAATAACTGAGAAGTCGTTATAAGCGAGTTTGACTGTATATTCTCTTTGACAAACTGTAAATTGACTTGGGTACGTTATGGAATTGAATTTATGAACCCCACACCATGGCGCATCCAATAAGGTGAATTCATTTCAACAGCTGATTATTTTAAAATAAAATGAAGTAAAATGTATTTTTATCCGTATTGCAAAAAAGAGATGGCTCTCAAGTGCTGGTACCTTGTTAAGTATATCATGTCCCTGATCTAATGCGACTTGCCTGTTTTTTGAATCATTTCAAATAATGAAGAGAGCCATCTCAATATGTGATGGTTTCATTACATATTGCGTTCAGACAATCCTATCCGTACTTTTCTACACACAATTTTAACAGATCATATTACTTGTGTTCTCGTGTAAAGGGGACTTTAAACTACATATAAAAACAATTCTCTCTCAAAACCGACGTTGGCAAAGTTCACATATAAGAAATATCATGAATTCACACCAATATGAAATAACTTTACCCTATAATCGATATGCCTTCCATATATATACTTTTTTGGATTATCATAAAAATAGCAAGGTAAAGTAGTAAATAACATTATTTCAACAGCTGTTACATAGTTTATTTATGTCAAAAACCTTATAAAAAATGTTTTCTTTTAATTTAAAAACTGTGCCACTAAGTTCTCCTTTTATATATTCTTAAAGTGAGAAACTGTAAAATGTCATGGGTACGTTATGGAATTGAAACATGTGTGAAGAATTTACACAAACAAATACCGCGAAATATCAATTGTAGTTGCCAATAAGAAAACAAAAAAAGAGTTTAATGAAAATTTGTTTTATCTTTTGTTCAATTGTGCGTTTTAATAAATTTTATTATTTATTTAGTGTTAACGAATAAAACTATGTAATAAAATGGAAAAATCTGCATTAAATGAAGTAAAAGCCATACTCAAGTCTCTAGTACTTTCAAGTCCTGAGAAGATTACCATTGAAAAGTTGAACCGTGATTATCGTGATGTCGAAGGACAATTTATACCGTTTCGCCGGCTAGGATATGGCAATTTGGAAGAATTTCTACGTTCCATACCAGATACATTAAGGGTGAGTATTAACTATTGTTTAAAGAAAATTTTAAATATAATTAAACAAATAAAACAGGTGTTTGGTAGTGGTCCCACAGCTATGGTGTGTTTTGTGGCCAATGAAAAATCCGATCATATACATGATATGATAATGAAACAAAAAAAACCTAAATCAAAGGGCGCAAGAACAAGAGCTAGAAATGCTACACGCCCCCGAAGCAATCCGCCCCAAAGAAGTAACAGATTTACGGGCAATATTAAACAACCGGCTAGACGTGTAGGACAACAATTATCACCCTTTCAAAGTGTTAATCGCAATCATTTTACTAAGACCGTTCAAGTGAGAGATATACCCCAATTGGTGAAAAAAGCTAATTATGTACCACCAGTTTTAGCCGATCAAATGTTGTACGCTTTACCACAACCAAGTGGTATAGTTTTGAATACACAACAGAATATAAACTTACAATATGGCATATTTAAAGCCATAGACGACCAGGCCCGAAAGTATGAAGAACAGGTCAGACAGTTAAATAGTTTGTTGAAAAAACAATGCAGTGTAACAGCACCGCCGCCAAAAACTCTTTCTACCGCGCCGCCACCACCTCTTTCCCGACAACAAACAAGAACTGTTAAATTTTCTTCCGATATTAATTCCTTCGACCAAAAAGTACCAGAAACTAAAAAAGAATCTCTTGAAAAAACGCCAATCGTTAATAAACATGAATGTATTGATTTAAATCCTCCTAAAGATGTTAAACAAATGCCTATTAAATTATCGGAAGAAGTAGAAAATCTACTCGACATGCCTAAACTTTACAAACCTACTAATCCCATAAAGGAGTCAAGCTCAGTGCATGATAGCAGTGAAGAATTACAAAAAGCAGAAATGCCTCCGCTTAATAAGCCGGAAGTAACTACAGAAATTAAAGAGAATAAGAGATTTTTTGATGATAGTGCTGATAAAGTTGAAGATCCAGATGAAGCTGTACCCTCATTTGCTGCTGTAAGTTTACATTTCGAGGGTGAATGGTTGACAACAGACAGTAAATGGTGTCAGACCTTCACCTTCGTTTCGAGTTTAGATCTTAATAATTCATAATAATTTTTTTATTTGTAGAAAAACAATGTCTTCCGTTTAGATTTTCCTGAACACACTGTGCCTTATGGCCTTAAAATTGCACCTTATAAACTTTCTGATGATGTTACCGTTGGATCGTGTATAAAAATCTTTATATCAGAGGTTCGAATTCATTTTTTACTATAATTATTTAGCTTTTTATATTTTTACGTTTTTTTTTCTAGATACACAATCCATTTAAATTTTGGTTTCATATTCATAAAGACAATCATGAATTGGATCAGCTGATGTATCAAATTGAGTAAGCATGTTTTTTTATTTAATATTTTGTTTTCTTAAAATTATTACCATTTCATTTGTTTCTTTGTATTTATAGACGTTATTATTCCCCACTGGAGGCTGAGGACCTGCGAATTCCTATGATGTGTTTAACACCGGGACAAGTATGTGCTGCTTGTTATAATGGTTTATGGCATCGTGCTGAAATTGTAGCTCCTCCTGTTAATACTACCATTAAAGTAAGAATTTTCATACAATGTGCTTTTTAAATTTGTTTTATACTTTTACGTTTTCATAGGTTTCCTTCATGGATTATGGTACGGTAACGGAAGTAGGAATAGAAAATATAAAATTTTTAGCCTCTTATTTTGCTCAATTACCAGCTCAAGCGCTGAGAGGTTGTCTGTCTCATATTAAACCACGTGCTCTTCACTGGAGTCATGAGGCAACAACATATTTTCTAACATTAGTGGCTGAAATGATGTTGTATGCAAAAATTGTTGAAATCGATAGAGAGGTAAGTTCTATAATCTGAGAAACTAGAACTGAACTAGAACTGAACTAGAACTGAACTAGAACTGAACTAGAACTGAACTAGAATTGAACTAGAACTGAACTAGAACTGAACTAGACTTGGAAGATTTATTTTTAACTCTGATTCCTTTATATAAACATTTGTATCCTTCACTTTAGCAAAATATTTTATATATGGTATTATGCAACACCAATGGCGAGGATGTGGTGCAAATTAATAAATCATTAGTGGAAAAACGTTATGCCCTATATAATGAGGATTGGAAAGCCCAAAAAATTAGTCAAGTAAGTTAATTCAAATCAAAAAAAGGAATAATAATAAAGATTTGTTAACAATTGACCCGTTTTTACAGAATAATGGAAAACGTATACATCATCCACGAGAAGATTTTCCTACGTGAGCTTTAGTTTTCATTTATCGTTATAAAAGTAGTAATTGTCCTTGCATTTCTTATATGATTTTTTATTTAATATATTTAATTTATTTCATTATTTCTGTTTATTTCTTTTTATTGCCCCATTGTAGATTTTCCATGATAGAATCAGGTGAATATCCTAGTTTCATCGAACTGGTTAATTTACAGCAACGCGGTATCGATTATGAATCAATCTATGATCTTATTATCTATAATCAATCGACTATTTTAAATAAACACGAAAATGCTCCTGAACGTATAAGGAATTTACCATATTTCCTAACGACTTCAAATCCCTTCCGTTCTGATATTTTATTGGAATTATATACCACAACATCGACTGCTTTATAATGCGTATTGGACGAGAAAATGTATGGGGTATGTTTAAAGACTTTTATTATTATTATTATATTAGTATTTTATTCATTTAAAGTGCTGAAGTTTAAAATGGGACTATGTAATGATATTTCTTGTATTTAAGTTGAACTGTTTTTCTTTTATTTTTGTTATATTAACGATCTTTTGTGTTAAAGATCTAAGAAGTATTAACTTTTTTGTTGTTTATTACTGAAAATTTAAGTGTTTATCTTTTTTTTACTATATAAATGGACGTATGAAAAAAAATTTAACAAAAATATTTTTGCATTTTTTTAAGGGGTTTCGATACACCTCACTGAAGTTGGTTTTACTCCGTGTTCTAATAGGGCCCTTAAAAGTGTGGTTATTCTCTTTTAGCTAAAACTTTGTTCTAAAAGGTCCCTTAAAAGTATGGTTATTCTCTTGTACTTAAAACAGTAGAATCAGAACGTTTAGATAGATAGATAGATAGATAGATAGATAGATAGATAGATAGATAGATAGATAGATAGATAGATAGATAGATATATAGATAGATAGATAGATAGATAGATAGATAGATAGATAGATAGATAGATAGATAGATAGATAGATAGATAGATAGATAGATAGATAGATAGATAGATAGATAGATAGATAGATAGATAGATAGATAGATAGATAGATAGATAGATAGATAGATAGATAGATAGATAGATAGATAGATAGATAGATAGATAGATAGATAGATAGATAGATAGATAGATAGATAGATAGATAGATAGATAGATAGATAGATAGATAGATAGATAGATAGATAGATAGATAGATAGATAGATAGATAGATAGATAGATAAATAGATAAATAGATAAATATATAGATAGATAGATAGATAGATAGATAGATAGATAGATAGATAGATAGATAGATAGATAGATAGATAGATAGATAGATAGATAGATAGATAGATAGATAGATAGATAGATAGATAGATAGATAGATAATAGATATATAGATATATAGATGTATAGATATATAGATGGACTGACGGATAAATGGATGGATGGATAGATGGTTACATGGATGAATGGATATATGGTTAGATGGATACATGAATAGATGGTTAGATAGATAGATGGTTGGATGGATTGATGAATAGATGGTTAGATGGATGAATGGATAGATGATTAGATGGATACATGAATGGATGGATAGATGGATTGATGAATAGCTGGTTAGATGGATTGGTGGATAGATAGATTACGAACAATTTCGTAGTTAAAAGTTACATTTTGAAAAAAATTGGCTCTCCTTTATAATATTTACATGTTCTCTTTTGATCAACAGTTTAACTGATCTATAACTTATCTTTGTTTCAAAATCAATCTATAAAACTTTCTTCTCGTGCCGATCAATATAATATGCAGATTTTAAAAAGGAAATTAAAACCTGATCTATTATACACCAAAATAAAAATACTTTGATAGTTTTATTTTTTTTATTTTATAAGGCAAACGCTGTCCTTCTGGTTTTTTTTTTTATTAGTTTACGTGTAATAAAATACAAGATATTCTTTACATTTGTTTGGTTTTTTGGTTGTTGTTATTTGTTGTTTTTGTTGCTTACAATTCGAACAAATACAACTTGCAGTTTGTTTTTATATATATATTTTTTATTACTTGTTTCAATTTTTTTTTCTTCATTTTTGTTTTATTTGTAATAAAAAGAGTTTTTGCTTAGCTAAAAAAACTAATTTAAATTAATGATTATACATAATCATAATAAAAAATAAACAAATACATATTTTAAATATAATAATAATAATATTATTAAATAATTAATATAGTGATATTAATTAATGATTTAACTAATAATCATAAAAGTTTCTTTTACAATGGTCGGTACAGAGAATATATAAGTGAGTAGTTGAAACAAAAATAAGAGAAATTTAAAAGCAAAATTAATTAATTATAAAATTATACTACAATTATTTAGCTAAAGTTTAACAATAAATACAAACTACAACTAAAGGTAAATAAAAATAAAAAGAAAAAATAATAATTTTTAACAAAAAGAAAAGTATTCTACTATATTGTATAAAGATAATGAAAGTTTGACACCAAATAATTTTTGTTTCTAACACTAGAGAAGTGTATTGTTTTGTTTTCAATATCTTGTGTAAGTTAGTTGGTTGTTAAGTTTTCATTATCTTTACACTTTTTTTTAATTAATGTTTAATGTAGTTATGTATAAAAAGTTATATTAAATATTTTTAAAAATATAAATAGTTTTTAAAGTTAATTATAAGGTAAAATACACAGTTGTTATGAAAATTTTATAATTTTTTTTTTTTTTTTTAAATTTATGCAAAATTTAACATTTGAAATTAGTTTTCTTAATGAGAATTTTGTTAGAATAGTTAGTTTTGAAAAATTTCAAAAGATAAGTTCGTTTTTTATTAAGTATTTTCAAAAATTTTGGAAAAATATTGTATATGTCCCACTATTTCAAGGAGTTCTTTCCTGGGGGCTCATTGACCGATTAGGGTCATTCATAATAGTTTCAATTTGAAGCCTTTAAGTTTCTTTTGGCAATATTCTCTACTTCTTTTCAAAACAACTGTATATTTTTTACCCTATAATTATGGAAATATATCTTTTAAATTATATAAAAAAATTGTACACCAGATGAAATTCTTATTTTGTTTTAACTATAATATAGTTTTAATTTATTTATCTTTTGTTGTAAGTTTTATTATTATTATTTGTATTAATTTTATTTTAATACAATTTTCTTAATAATTGTGTGATTTTTTTCCTAAGTTTTTTTTTTAATTTTTTTAAATAACATTTTTTAAGTTGCCGCTTTTTTTCTACAATGTGTACTAAAAACAAATGTGTCATGCTTTTTTTTGTAATGTATAATTTTTTTTGTATTATTTTTTTATTGGTATTTTTATTTGCAGTTTATAACAATGATTAGTTTTTATATAATAATTTTTTCTATAATCATAATATTGTTTTTTTAACATTTTGTTTTTTGTTTAGTTTGTTATATTGGTTAATGATTTTAATATTATTTTTTAATTTATTTACTTCACTAAATGTTTTTTTGTTTAGGTATTTATGTAGTTTTGTTTTATTTAGTTTTTCTTTTTTTATTATTTAGTATGTAGTGTATATGTTCATTTAATGAAAATACATTTTTAATTCTTTGTTTTTTTTTTGTAGGAAATTTTTGTTTTTTTGTAAAATGTTTTAATAGGAGGGCTAGTTGTTTTTGTTTTAAATATATTTATTATTAAATTGTTTGTTTTATTTATGGTTAGGGTTTGTTTAGAAGGAGCAGGTTTAGGAGTATTAGGTTATATGAGAATGGCAGACAGAGGGATAGAGATAGAGAGAGTGAGAGTTAGACAGAGTTTTGTAATGTTTTTATCTGTAGGAAGGCTTAACTAATGCTTTTTTGTTTGTTTTTGTTATTTAATATTTAATCATTGACTATTTATTCTAATATTCTACTATTCCTATTGCAAAAATTATGTTTGGTTTTACTACTTTAATAATAATAATAATAATTTATAAAGTCAACTTAAAACATCAGGTGGTTTCAGTTTAATGTTTAAATGAAATTAAGGAAAAATAATCTACAAAACAATAAGTTATTTAATTTATTTTATTTTGTTTTTAGATCATAACTACATTAGTTATAATTTTGTTTAGGGGAAATTAAGATTTTTATTACGATTTTGAAGTAATAAATTCGTATTTTTTTTGTAATTTTTGGATACTGGGAGAGTTCAATTTAAATATAAAAGTCCTTGGAACATGGTCTATACAAAGCTCAATTTAAAAGCAGATAATCTGAAAATTTTTTTAGTGAAAAATCGGATTATTATTCGAAACGTACTGATTTATTAACTAGTCTATGAATAGTCTTTAAAATATTCGATTGACTAGTCTTTGGATTATTCTATTGACTAGTTTTTACTTGAAACGGACTGGTCGATTAACTAGTCTATGAGTAGTCTTCAAACTATTCTATTTACTAGTTTTTAGAATATTCTATTGACTAGTCCATGGACTGGTCTATTGAATGGTCTAAGGACTATTCTATAGACTGGTCTATTAACTGGTCCACGATCTAGTATATGAACTATTATATAAACTGGTCTACTTGACTGTTTTTTCGGCTTGACTGTTGACCAGTTTATAAACTGGTCTACTGACTCGTCTACGGACTGTTCTAGGGCCTAGTTATAGACTAGTCTATGGACTATGCTATTGACTACTTTATTAACTAGTTTCTGTACTAGTCTATGAACTGGTCTACTGACTAGTTTATAAACTGATCTAATGACAAGTCTAAGTACTGGACTATAGACTATTCTATTGCTTACTCTATGGACTAGTCTATTAACTAGTCCTCGGATTAGTCAATGAACTAGTCTACTGAATAGTCTATGGATTGGTCTAATACTAGTCTATGGACTGGTATATAGTCTATGAACTATTCTATTAATAGGTATGTTAACTAGTCCGCGGACTAGTCTATGTGTAGTATTTAAACTATTCTATTGACTTGTCTATGGACTGGTCTATTGTATAGTCAAAGGACTACTCTATTAACTGGTCCACCGTCTAGTTTATGAACTATTATATAAACTGGTAAACTGGTTATAAACTGGCTAGTCTGGGAATGTACTATATCCTAGTCTGTGGACTGTTCTTTCGACTAGTCTTTTAACTAGTTTATAAACTGGTCTACTATTTATTCAGTAGGCTACTATGGACTGGCTTGTTGACTAGTCTATGGACTATTCTATGGACCGGTCTAATGACTTGTCTATGGAATAGTCTACTGACTAGTCTGTGGACTGTTCTATGAACTATTCTATTGACTGGTCTATTAACTTATCCCTGGACTAGTCTATGAACTGATCTACTGACTAGCCTATGGACTGGTCTATTGACTAATCTATAAACTTAGTCTATGAACTATTCTATTGATTGGTATATTAGTTAGTTCACAGACTAGTCTAGATAGTCTATGTGTAGTATTTAAACTATTCTATTGACTTGTCTATGGACTGGTCTCTTGAATGCTATGTACTAGTTTATTGATTAGTCTATGGACTATTCTATGGACTGGTCTAATGACTTGTCTATGGAATAGTCTAAGGACTAGTCTATTGATTGGTATATTAACTAGTCCGCGGACTAATCTATTGACTAATCCGTAGACTGGTCTATAGTCTATGAACTATTCTATTGATTGGTATATTAGCTAGTCCGCGGACTAATCTATTGACTAATCCGTAGACTGGTCTATTTCATAGCCTATTGACTAGTCTATAATCTGAAACTAAAGTATAAACAAGTTTCGCTTCAAATAACCATTGAATTACTTTTAAGTTTTGTCGCGAAAATATTTTTATATTTAAATTGAAAAACTGAAAAATTGATTAAAATTTAAAAAAATTAAATAAATTCTAATTCCCTTAAGCAAAATAGCCACTAATGTAGTTTAATTTTAATTGAGTTTTACTTTTTTGGGTTTTTCATAATATTCATTAACTCTCATTTTGTTTTAAGTTTCTTTTAGGGTTTTTTTGTTTCTTTCTTTTTTTAGTTTAAATCATTTTCATTATATTTTCTTGAATAATTTTGTTGTTGTTCGTTTTAATTATGGGGTTTTTATTATTATTTTGTTTTAATTAATGTCGTTTTTTCTTATACTTAAGTCATCACAGTTTGCGGAGCTGAAAAAATTTGTTATTATTTTTATTTTTATTTGTTTTGTTTAAATTATTGAGGACTTTTATGTTTTGTTTCTTTTTTTTAAATTATTATTAATTGCAGTTTATCTCCTTGTATGTAAGTAATGTATTGTTGATGTATGTAATAGGTTTGGTTGTAATTTTGTTGTTATTGTTTGTTGTAATTGAGTTAATATGACCCAGCAAAAAAAGACGTGCAAAAAAAGTAGTAAATGCATGGGTTGAACTGATAATGAACTGGTTCATATTTAGGGGAAACATGCATGATTTTAACATAAGCGTGTCATTGGCATGCATGGGTTCGTATTTGCAAAAATAGTTCGTCATTTAAATGAGTTCTTATAACCAATGAATATTCGATGATTCTCAAGCGAATTTTCATTGGTGCACTATATTTATTTAAAAATGCATTAATGGTATTTCGATTTAATTATCAATATTCAAATAATTTTTTTGAGTGATATTGACAAAAATAGAATAAGATAAAACATAACTAACTGATTTTGATTGGATTTAAATTCATGCAGAGGAAAAATACCCATTGTGTTTTAAAATCCGTTAAGCAGTCTTGGTTTTTTCCTTCTCTTATTAATGGACTTAATATTACTAATTTTAACAAAAATCTAAAAAAAATTGATGTCATTTTTAATCTTTATTGTATGAAATGCACGTTTTCGTTAAATCTCCTAAGAGAATACCAAATTACAGTAAAATATTACAATTCCTATAGTGGAGTTACATGAGTGAATTTGGGTGCATTTTTCATGCCTTCACTGATGACAAATTTATTAGAATTTAGGCATGTATTTAAAACGCATTAAATAGAATACTTACTAAAGAAATCATGAAAATATCCCTTCTTCTTTAACAACTTCAAAATTTTTTTGCTGGGGAGTATAATAATAGTGTAAAAACTTAAACATTTCTTCTTTTTTTCTTCTTGTTAATTAAATTCTCTATTAGTTTTATTGTTTAATTAATTCGTTAATAGTTTTGTCGGTCTGTCTATCGTTTTATTTATTTTTTTGATTGTGTTTAATTTAGTTTAGTTTAACTGTTGTTGTTGTAATTTTAAATGATATTTTAACTTAAAATGGACTTTAAAGCAACCGCTAGAATAATTTGGTGTTAAAGCATGATATATATTATATATAGTATTTTTGTTTTAATATATTTTTTTTTTTGAGGAAAAACTTAATAGAAAAATATCTTAGAACTTTAAACAATTGACAGTTAAATGTTAAGAAATTCTTATAGAGTAAAGTTATTATAGTAAAAGTAAATATAAATGATTAAAAGGAACTGTCATATGTTAATCTATTTCAAAGTATTTTTCCATTAAGTTTTAAGTATTTTCTTTAGGTAATTTTTTTTTATAAAAAGGCTGCTTGAAATAGCAATATATGAGGCTTGAATATAAATAACAATTTACTGCGTTTTACTAATGCTTCTGCTGCTGCGGCTGATGATAACTATGTTGTAGTTTTTCTTCTTTTACTTCTTGTTGCTGTAGTTGTTGTTATTGATGATAAAGATTGATGTTGTTGTTGTTACTAATTCACAGTGTTGCTCTTCTAACACCACAAACACTAAATGCCAACAAATGCTTATGATAATAGTGCAATTGTAGTGTCGGTGTCGATGCCGTTGATAATAATTTTTCTCAGTGTCATGGAGTATTGCCCTCAAATAATGCACGAAATTCACCACTTCTAGGACGGGGTAAACCTTCACGTATTGTTTGTATGGGCTCTGCTATACTTGACATCGAACCATGTAATAGATTTTCTTTGGGATCAATCTCACTGCTGTTGAAATTTCAATTAAAATTAAATTTTATATGAAACTTCTCAAACAGTTTTTCTTAAACACTTACTCATCTTTACATTCCTCCGCTTCAGCGGCTAAAGCATTGACTACCGCTGTTATTGTATTTGATTCTGGATTGCTTAATTGTTCATCTTTTTGTTGCATTATATTCGGATTCTTGCCAATCTTATTAAGACGTTCGGCGGCTACAGTTTCCATTGTTTTTCTCATTAGAGGATATTGGTCCAGCACACAATTGAAATGATCGACACTTAGGGAAAATAGATTACAATACGTTTCAGCTCTTACACTGGCCACACGTCTGGCATTTGTTAGCAAACAAATTTCACCGAAATATGAACCATCCGATAAAGATGTTGCCACCTAAAGTTTGAAATGTGACATAAGAGTTAGTTGCCGGGTATTAGTAGTCTATAGGCTAATATGTGAACTATAAACTAGTCTTTTTTTAGTTTATAGATTAGTATAGTGATTAGTCTATTGACTGTTTCATTGGCTAGACTAAGCGCTATTCTATGGAGTAATCTTTGGACTAATCTATGATCTAATCAAGTCTATGAAATGATCTACTGACAAGCCTATGAACTAATTTAATGACTAGTCTATGTTCAGCTATATTATCTATATTATCGACCAGTCTTTGCACTAGTCTATTGATTAATCTTTGGACTAGTCTATTGACTAGATTTGGAGTAGGCCATTGACTAGTTTTTAAACTAGTCTATTGACTAGACTTTGGACTAGTCTTTAAACTGGTATATTGACAAGTCTTTGGATTAGTCTTTAAACTAGATTATTGACTAGTCCTTGAAGTAGTATTTATTTATTGACTGATATTTATTGGCTAGTCTATCGACTAGTCTGTCGACTAAATTGTTGATTAGTCTATCGACTAGTATGTTGCTAATCCATCGATTAGTATTTTAGACTTGTCAAGGGACTAGTCGATATTTCAGTCTGTTGACTAGCCTATTATCGACTAGTCAGTTGACTAGTCTGTCTAGTCTATCGACAAGTCTATTGACTAGTCTATCGACTAGTCAGTTGAATAGTATATCGACTAGTTTTTTGATTAGTCTATCGGCTAGTTAATTGATTAGTCCATCTACTAGTCTGTTGACTAGTCTATCGATTAGTAAGTATTTTAGACTTGTCAAGGAACTAGTCGATATTCCAGTCTGTTGACTAGTGTACTATCGACTAGTCAGTTGGCTAGTCTATCGACTAATCTGATGACTAGTCTATCGACAAGTCCATCAACTAGTATATCGACAAATCTTTGGGCTAGTCTATTGGCTAGTCTTTGTACTAATCTATTGACTAGACTTTGGACTAGTCTATTGACTAGTTTATCAACTAGTCTATTGATAAGTCTATCGATTAGTCTGTTGACTAGTATATCGACTAGCCTATAGTATAATCTAATGACTTGTCTTCGACTAGTTTATTAACTGGTCTATCTATTACTCTGTTGACTAGTCTATTGACTTGCCTATTGACTAGTCTATCAACTAGTCTATTGACCAGTCTATTAACTAATCTGTTTTCTAGTATATAAACTAGTTTACTGAAGAGTTTTTTGACTGGCCTGGTTTATTGATTAGACTAAGTGTGATCTATAGATTAGACTACTGTTTAGACTCAGAACTAATTTGTGGACTAGTTCATGGATTATTTTAGCAACCAGTCGATTCAAAAGTTTATAATATAGAAAAGTACTTAATATGTCATAGGGATACTTTTCGATGACAAAAGTTGTTCGATTTTCCGTTTAAAACATATATAAATTACCTCTCCATTGGCCATAACAATATCGACCACACCTTCTTGTATAAAATACATTTTGGTACCAATAGTACCTTCTTTTATAATAATATCACCTAGAATTGAAATTAAAACAATTAATTAAATAACAATTAAAAAATTAAAGCTGTGACGAAACTAACCTGGTTGAAATACTTCGTATTTAAGTTTTGTAACAACATCAGAAACGAAATTGGAGTCAGCATTTGCAAAAAAAGGCACTGACGCAACGAGAGATCTGTAAATAGTTAGCAAATTAATGCAAATTCAATTCAAATGTTTGATTTTTAACAATACTTACCTACAATTATAATTGATAACATCCTCTCTTAATTTTTCGCTCAATTCTCCTAATATACATTCTTCATCGAAGAATTTACCTTGATAACGATGCTCGAAATATTCGGTTATACGTTGACGCATATCGCGCGGTAATTTACGATACGCCATATACTCTTCAACCTGTTTGACCTTTTCGCGATATTGACGCCTACTCGAATCTAAACTTTGAATTAAATTTGTAGCATGACCCAGGAACAAAGCATAACATGTAGCACCCGATATCATGGATAACATTGTCAACCACATATCGGTTAAGGATTGGGGCGGAAATCTTGAATAGAAATTTTTGAATTATTATTTCAAAAGAAAACAATTAAATGCAATATAAAAACCCACCTGCCATAACCTATGCATAGCATATGTGACATTGCTTTAAATAAAGCCCATGAATATTGTTCCAGCCAATATGACTCCTAATTTTTAGTTTGGCAATTTTTTTTTGTTTTTTTTTTTATAATTTAAGAAAAATATACATTTTTGGTTTTTTTGCTTGTTTAAATTAGTTGAGTTTATTTGTGAAAAACCTACCTGCAATTCATTGATTGATACCCATGAGTTTGAGGGAAAACCTTGTAACATTGGCACTAAAAACTGTAAACAACCACTCCAATGACCAATTAGCAACATCATACATATCAGATTGAAAATTCTCATAAACACCGATGCCATATTTAGAAACTGAAAACATATTGTTTTGGGTTTTTTATATTTTTTATCTTTTGCATTAAATTACACCAATCACCATTTGAGAAATTTTGTGGAAAATTACATACAAAAAAATATATATATATATAACATACACAAATAATTTGATTTCGGTTTGTAGGCCAGGGAATAGTTAGGAAATAAGTACTAATTCCAAAGAACTTAAAATTTGGATTTTCAATAAATAAACTATGTATTAAGTTTTAAAGCAGATACATTTTAATCTAACTTACAAAAGAGCAGCATTGCTGACAATGTCAGCCTGACATTATACACCCTTCAACAATTCACGTTATTATTTAAAAGCCTACTTTTAGGCCTTCATAATAAATTAAAAATCTTGCATATTTTTAAAGTTAACATTTATATTATAATTTTTTTTTACTTTTCCCTGGCCCCAACATCAAATTAAGCGTTTCGTGTGTGAGTGTGTCAGGAAAAAACCACAAAAAATTTTAACATAAAATTTTGTAATAAAAAAAATTAAGAACACTACACAAAGAAATTGTTTTTCGTAAAGAACAAAACAAATTCGTTAACGAACGAAATAAAAAAATTTAACATAATTGTTTTAAACAAAAATAAATAAATAAACAAACATTAACAAAACAACAACAATAAAATAAAGTAAAAGGACACAAACAAATTGATTAAATGCAGCACATTTTTATTTAAAAGGTTTTAAATAAGGGATAACAATTACAACAATTTGTCCTATTTGTGGGGCTTTGGGGTTTCTAAACTATTTTTTGAAGATTCTTATATTCATCAGGGGCTATATTCAGTCTATTTCTACCAAGTCCAGATTACTTTAAAACTTTGTAGGAGTCTTTTTAAACACTGCGTTTGTTACAAATAGTCCAGTTAAGTCCAGATATTAAAAATAAACAATTTTTTCTTTAAAAAAATTTAAAATTTTATTGGTTCTAGCAATAATTCTAAAAACCATGTAACATTCCTTTTACAGGGCAATTCTGGAACCAGTTCTTTTATCAATGGCTCTTCTTTATAGTTATCAGTTTCATATCTGATTCTGTAGAAGCGTTATACTTTCACCCTTTCTTCTACAACATAATTTCTGATCAAAATTGTCACCATCGGAAATGGTTTTTTATTAAAAAGTTCTACAGAACGGTTGTGAAACAAGTTTCAGGTTCTGTGGAAGGCATTTCTTCTACATATCTTTTCTTAAACTACCTCAGTTTCATATTTGATTCTGTGGAAGTCTTACACTTTCACCATTTCTTCTACAGCCTCACATTCAACAATGATTTCTGATCGAAATTATCACCTTCAGAACTGGGGTTTGGTTAAAAAGTCTTCTACAGTACGGTTGTGAAACCAGTTTTTCATCAATGGTTTTTGTATTTGTTACCTTTATATCAGGTTCTGGAACCAGCTTTTTCATCAATAGATTTTATCTGGTTCTGTGGAAGGCATTTCATCAACAGATCTTTTCTTAAACTACCTCAGTTACATATCTGATTCTTTCCTCTACAGATTCCGATTCAACAATGATTTCTGATCAAAATTGTCATCTTCAGAACTGGTTTTTGGTTAAAAAGTCTTCTACAGTACCGTTGTGAAACCAGTTTTTTTATCAATGGTTTTTGTATTTGTTACTTTAATATCAGGTTCTGGAACCAGCTTTTTCATTAATAAATTTTATCTGGTTTTGTGGAAGGCATTTCTTCTACAGATCTTTTCTTACACTACCTTTTTCATTAATGATTTTTGTTCGAAATTGTGACCTTGGCAACTTCTTTTTCATAGTGTTGATATCTCTTTCACCAAAGGATTCATTCTGCTATGATTTTTGTTCGATATAATCTCCTTCTAACCCGATCCGTTGGAAATGTACTTCTAGAGGACAATTCTGGAACCAGTTCTTTCATCAATGACTTTTGTTTGATATTGCTTACTTCGGAAGTGGTTATATGGAAGATTTCTTCTACAGAACAGTTGTTTGTTAACAATTATCGATCCAAATAGTTACCTTCGCAACTTGTTCTTGGGAAAGTTGTTCTATAAAACTGCTTTGGAACCATTATTTCAGTCAATGAGTTTTTTTAACAATCACCTTTTAAACTGTTTTTTTTTTTGGATGCGTTTGGAGTCGACATGTTGTTCTATAGAAAGGGTTTTTATCAAGGATTCTTTTAAAAATCGTCAGCTTTGGACTGGTTTTTTTTTTGGAAGGTTTATAAAGTAGACTTTCCTTTTACAGCTGTGTTCACAATTGTCCTCTTTATTGTCAGTTTTGGAACTAGTTTTTTGCCTTTATAAACTTGAAATTCCTTCTACAGAATACTTCTATCGTTTTGGAACTGGTTCTTTAGAATCGTTATAGAGTCAACAGAATGGTTCCAAAGTTGTTTTATAGATCTGTTATTTCACAAATGATTTTAGTTTTTAATGCTTATTATCGGAAGGTGTTTTATGGATCCGCTATAGAAACTGTTCTTTTATCAATGATTTTTGTGAAAATTGGTCATATTCAGAACTGAATAACCTTCAGAAAGAACTTAGAATTCTTTGGCAGGTTTATAGAGTCGATAAGTTCCATGGAATAGTTCAGGTACGAGTTTTTTCATTAATGCTATTTGATTGAAATTTCACACTCTTTAGAAAAGAATCAGAATACTTTAATTGGTTTATAGAGTATAGTTCTTGAACGAGTTTTTTTTTATTAATAATGTTTGGTGGCAATTGCCACTATCGCAACTACGTAGTTCTATGGACAATTTAGAGAACAAGTTTAGAGCTAATTAGTTGTTTTTTTTTATTGCTTTAAACCAAGGTTGTTAAAGAATCCAATCGATTTCAGAATTTCAGATTTGAAAACATTAAAAAACATGCTCTAATTTAATGAAATTCAATATTAATTGTTTTTATTCGATCTAGAATCATTATCTCTGACAACCCAGAATTTTTCGAAATCGGATATTAAAACTTGTTTCAGAACTGGTGTATGACTCTATTGTAGAACCATTATATAACTATGTACAGGCAAAAAACTGGTTCCTACAAAACTCTTTAGTATAACAATAATGTTTTAGAAAAGTAGTTATAGAAGTAATGGCAACGTCACTAGTCACATACTAAAATTATATTAAAAATTGTCCAAATGCTATACGGTTACGTTTCCATAAAAGAAAAAACGGAATCGTAAGAAAATGAAGAAGCATTCCATTTCGTTTTAATGCATAACGATTGCATTAAGCTACGTTTTTAAATAGTTATTTTAGTGTCGGTGTGTCGAAATGAAATGCAGAATAGGGCTGCTATCGCTAACGCTTATATTGTGTTCACATTCGAAATGGTGCATGTTGTGTTATGTATAAAATAATCCCTTTAAAACCATAGATAACATTTTAACAAATTATAATGTGCTGCATTTAATATATAATAAAAACAAAGCAAACAATTAATTGCATGTTGACCAATCCATAACAAAAATAAACAAAAGATTGTTTTTTTTATTAAAAACAATAAAGTAAAACTGATTTTAAACTATTACAGCTGCTGCTATACATTTAAAAATTGATTTGTTTCATAAAATTATTTGTTTCAATAATTTTTTTTTTTTTAAATTTGTAAAAGTTTTAGTAAAAAAAACACAACTAATTTTAAAATTTATATTTTAAATACACCTAAGTTATTAACTCAAGCGTTTTTAGTAGATTTTTTTTATTTATTTAAAGGGAACAATTAAAATTTAATACAAAATAATTTTGGTTTTTATTTAGTTTTTTTGCATTAAAATAAAGTTTCAAGATCTAAGCAAACTGTTAGAGTTTGTAAGATCTTTGTGCTTTTTTTAAAAGAATACACTGCGACAAATAATATGAAATAAGAAGAAGATGACAACATACATTCATACATTTTAAATACATACATACAGTTTTAATAACATTTCAAAAAGAAACATAATAAATTAAATAAAAATATAGTCTTTTTTTTTGGAAATTAGTTTTAAAATAAAAGTAAGAAAAGTAGTAAACTTAAGAAATTCAAGAGAAATACCACTACAATAAAAACTACTTTTTTTAAAATTAAAATCAACTACTCGTACCATCACTACTGCTATAGAAAACATTACAATTTGGTTTTATTTTAAGGTCCTTTTTATAGCTAAATAAGGACCTTTTTTTCTAAATTGTATACTAAATATTGCTAAAGAGAGTTTATTAGTTATTAATTACTATTTAATTAATTCATCGATTCTGCACAATCTAGTTGTTATTAGTAGTAAGTAATTGTTTTTTTTAATATATTTTTTTTTAATCAAAGTGATATTTCTTAAGGAGAGTTGTGTTTACGTTGGGTTTATTTTTAACTCTTCAAATTGCAACAACATTACACAGGGTTTCAATTTAACAGATTTGAAATACAACAATTTCTATATCACAAAAAATAACGGTGCTATGCTTTATTAGTCATAAACCCGCGCTTGAAAAGTGTTATATTTTTAGCAAAGCTAATATATTTACAAAGTTTTTTTTTGTTAAAATTTAATAAATTACGCTTAAATAATATAAAAATTGCTATAGTCACCATCATTAATATATAATTTATAAAATTTATAAAATTTCTTTAATTTTTTTTTTTTAAATTTTTTCTTTTCAAATCTTGTCTTTTGCTCGATTATTTTGTATTAATTTGAATTTGTTCCAGGGAGGGGGTGCAAAAACCAAAATCATAAAAAAGCCATTTTTTATTTATTACACAAAAAAAAAAGAAATTATTAGGAAATTACCACAAGTATAAAACTAAATAATTTATTAACTTTAATTTTAAAATAAAATATCAACAAAGTTTCTGAAATTTTTGTTAATATTTTGTTTTTACCATAAATCTAAAAATAATATAATTTTGTCTTGTTTTCGTTCTGCTGCTACTTATTAAGATTACATACTGTTTTCTATATTATTTTTTTTTTTTTGTACAAAACAAAAACTCATAATGTTTTTAAATAAAAAAAAAATATTAACATTTTTATAACTGCTTTTGTAAAACTCTAATAGCCTTTATAACTGTTTTATAAAGTATTTAATTTAATTTAAATAAATCCTGCTTTAACTACAAAATTTTCTTATATTCTAGAACTATTTTATATCGAAATTCTTAGTATTTTCTTTCTATTCTATTCTATTCTAGTTTAGCTTTAAGCTTTTTGTTTAAAAGCAATAGAAATATAAAATATCAAACACTAAGACCTAGTTTTGCAGCATTAATAGGGTCTTAAGTTATTAGCTGCTACTGGTTTAGTTTGAAGATTTCTGTTCGAGTATGTCATTTTTTGAACCAATTCTATAGATTATGGAAACTTATTAAAAGAACTGCAACTGGTACTGCAGAAGCGTTGTAAAGTCCACATACATTCTATAGAACGGTTTTGTAATCAGTTCTTCCATTATTATATCCTACACCATTATAGTGGGAAGGGTATTATGCATTTGTGCTGATGTTTATAACACCCAAAAATATTGCATCTATATCAACTTTTAAGTAAACCAATCGGCTTTTATATATGTAAGTCTAAATGACTGACCCATATAAAGTTTCTTTCAGAAAATGCTTTATTACTAAAATTGCACCCTGAAATGGATGTCTGACATTCTTATTTATTTTTATTTGAACTTATACACCTTTCGAATTGATTCTTTGAAAACATTATAAAGTTGTTCCTTAGAATGGTTCGGGAAATATTTTTTTAAAACCGGCATTATAGAGTCGTTTCACGGATCAGTACTGTAATAAGTTTTTTCATCAAAAATGCTTTTTTTTCGTTCTGTGAGGGATCTTGAAGAAGTTTTTTCTGGTTTTATGATTCGTTCCAAAGAAGGTTCTAAAACTAAATTTTTCATAAATGGTTTTAGTTGGAAGTTATGAGCTTCGGAACTACATCTATAGAATTGTTATGGGAGAGTTTCTTCAGTGATTTATGTTCCAAATTTTCATCTTTGGAACAGGTGTTATAGAGTTATAGTTATAGTCGTCCCAAAAAACGGTTCTAAAAACAATTGTTTTATCAAAAACTTTTGTTTGAAATCATTAGATTAAGAACTGATTTTGTGAAGTCATCTGGTACCTATGAATCATCTATAAAATGGTGCTGGAAGTATCATTTAATATTGTTCAGTTCTTGTTCAAAACTGTTACCATTAATTTTATAAGCTTCGGAACTGATTCGGCAAAGACCACGTTCCATGTTTTAGTTAAATAATATAGTTATTTTTTTAGAAGTAGTCTATAAACGAGTCTGTGAACTAGACTGTGGACAAGTCTGTTGACCACTCTATGAACTAGTCTATGGACTAGACTATGAACTAGTCAATAAACTAGTTTATAGACTAAGAACTAGCCTATGAATTAGTCTGTGGTCCAGTCTATGGACTGGTCTATGGACTAGTCTATGAACTAGTCAATGAACTAGTTTATAGACTATGAATTAGTCTATGAATTAGACTGTCTAGTCTATGGACTGGTCTATTGACTAGTCTATGAACTAGTCAATGAACTAGCCAATAGACTAGAACTAGTCTATGAACTAGTCAATGAACTAGACAATGAACTAGTCTATGGACTAGTCAATGAACTAGTCAATAAACTAGTCTGTGGACTAGTCTATGAAATAGTCTATGGACTAGTCTATGAAATAGTCTATAATGTAGTCTACGGGCTAGTCAATCAACTAGTCTATGGAATAGTATATAGACTAGTCTATGAATTAGCCAATGAATTAGTCAATGAACTAGTCAATGAACTGGTCTATGAACTAGTCAATGAACTGATCTATGAACTAATCAATAAACTAGTCTATGAACTAGTCTATGAACTGGTCTATAAACTAGTCTATGGACTAGTCTATGGACTAGTCTATGGACTAGTCTATGAACTAGTCTATGGACTAGTCTATGGACTAGTCTATGGACTAGTCTATGGACTAGTCTATGGACTAGTCTATGGACTAGTCTATGGACTAGTCTATGGACTAGTCTATGAACTAGTCTATGGACTAGTCTATGAACTAGTCTATGGACTAGTCTATGGACTAGTCTATGGACTAGTCTATGGACTAGTCTATGGACTAGTCTATGGACTAGTCTATGAACTAGTCTATGGACTAGTCTATGAACTAGTCTATGGACTAGTCTATGGACTAGTCTATGAACTAGTCTATGGACTAGTCTATGAACTAGTCTATGAACTAGTCTATGGACTAGTCTATGAACTACTCTATGGACTAGTCTATGAACTAGTCTATGGACTAGTCTATGAACTAGTTTATGGACTAATCTATGAACTAGTCTATGAACTAGTCTATGAACTAGTTTATGAACTAGTCGATGAACTATTCTATGAACTAGTCGATGAACTAGTCTATGAACTAATATATGATCTAGTCTATGAACTAGTTTATGAACTTTTTCACGATATCATTGCCCTATGTCAAATGTTTAATTTGTCTTAATTTTGGGTATTTTGGGAAAAATTAAGGGTAATTTTTGTCGAAAGTCAAAATTTTTAATTAAAGTCGTTATATAAGGGATAAAGCGATTTTATTAGCACTATATAATAGCGGTGTTCATGAAATCTTACAATTTTCCATTTTACGATGGGGTTATTAGGTGACGATTATATAATATAGACTGCTTATATAATGATTCTTTAAAAATTACTTTTAAATAGAAAAGTAGTTTTATTTACTATTTGTAAAAACAAAGAAATTTACATTTAAAATTTTCCAAAATTTCCTCGTTATTTAAATAGAAGACCCATTATGACCTATGCCAAACCACAATAACTTGCTATAGAGCATTTAATGAAAATGTGGACTGACCTACTTATGCTTACACTATAATAATAATAAAATCTAATTTTTTAAAGCTAAAAGCACTTGAAAAATTTCATGAATTACCACTAATGAAAAAAACGTATGACCTTAACTTCTTTGTAAAACTAAAATTATTAATTTTGTTTTTGTAAATATTAAATTTTCCAAACTATTATTAAAAACTTCTTAAATAAAATTAATGCATGCTATATACAAATAAAAGTTGTAAATTTTTTTGTTGTTGTTGGTAAATTTAAATATACATTATTTGTTGTAAAGAAAAAAAAAAAAACAATTTTCCAAAATTAAAAACTAATGGAAAATCATTATTAATTTTAATCTTTGTTAATCTCAAAAATTGACAACCATTTGTTTTATTCTTACCATAATAAAGTTTGGATTTCATTTGTGTTGCAAAATATGCGAATTATGTGACGCGTTCAGAATGTCATTGAACTTACCGAGTGGAACTAGGAAAAACAATAAAATGGAAAATCAAATGATTCAATGAAAATTAACCATCATTATTTTGTGTTAAAATATCTTTTTATATATTTTTTTTTAAATATCAAAAAATATATATTATTGATCTTATTAGATGTTGGATGTAAAAGAAAACAGATCAAACACGCAAAATAAAATACACAAACATTTATTTACTATATTTATTTCTATCTACTTTGAACTTTGAAAGATTGTTTTTTGTTAGTTGTTTTTTTTTTTTTTTTGGTTTCATTAAAACATTTTAATTATTTAAAAAAACACTTTTTTTATTAAATATTACAAAATTTCTCATTCAGACACAGACAACATCGCAGCTGTTGAGCAATAATACCTACCTATACCTATCTCTTTCCCTAAGTATTTTCTGATATGTTATATCTTCTTGAAAGTTTGCTAATCTTTTAAATCTTGTAGCAGTTTTTAAATAAAATATTTATTACACTCATTATCGTAAAAATAGGTTTACTCAATTAATTACCGAAATAGGTTTAAATGTATATATAGAGCAATGTTTTATCTGAAGTAGGTATCTTTATTGGGTCCCGAACACTAAAAACTTGATAAAACAATCTAATTTTTAGAACAACATAATTACGTCAAATTGAATCAGGGGAATTGAGGTCAATTATAGACCATTCATATCCTAAAATGGAACTTTAAAAGATATTCCGAAAAAGGTTAATATGGACCGAACTCTTCCTCTAAAGAAACCTGATAAGGTGATGTTTACAAAACTTAGAAGAGGACTTAAGTTAAAGTTATTTTCTGGAATAGAATTTTATGGGCCACTAGAGTCAGATATTTATTGAACTACTATTATTTTTTATTAAACAAAAGGGCGTTTGTAAGCTGAAGTAATGAAAGTCTGCACGAGGGTCGATTGAATAGCATTAAATTAGATTTTTCATTAAAAATTTGATTTTCACTTAAAATAAGATCTTTCGGTGAAAATTTTGATTTTCACTAAAATTTTGGTTTTTTATCAAAAAAAAAAAAAAAAAAAAATTTTCATTAAAAATTCGACTTTCACCAAAAATTAGATTTTTCACCAATAATTCGCTTTTTCACCAAAAATTCGACTTTTCACCAAAAACTCGATTTTTCATTAAAAATTCGAATTTTCACCAAAAAATCGATTTTTCACTAAAAATTCCAATTTTCATCAAAAGCTCGATTTTCCACTTTTTCACTAAAATTCGAATTTTCACTAAAAATTCGATTTTCCATTAAAATTTAGATTTTTTACAAAAAAAAAATCCATTTCTTAATAAAAATTTAATTTTTACTTAAAATTCGACTCGAGATTCTAGATTCATTTTCGAGAAAATAGTTAATGGATTTGAATGGAAAATCTACTAAGTAGTTATTAGAAATATAGGGAAGGCTTGACCCTTTGGCAAAACTTATGTCAACTTAAAATTTGTAAGCTACCAACTCTCAAGTAGATTCGTAAGCACTCCGTTTTAGTATGGATCCAAATAATACACCACGGTGGGATATAATGCATTTGCCAAGGAATATATTCCTCTTAACAGCTAGGGGCAGTGGATTCGCATTCGTTAAAGGGGAGCCCAAGTACAATACTTACATATATCTGACTAACACTCAATGTCTAGTTCTTACTCACAACAACATCGATACGTCCAGACTATTTCTGATTATACTTAAGTTGTCTAGTAATTTTCTCACTGAATAAAGATAATATTAATTTGATCCCTGATCAATAGCTGATCTATATAAATTCTGGGGTCATATTCGTTCAGTGAGTTAATCATACATCTCTCATTTCATTCATGACTTAGACTCTCGAGCAAAGTCCGTTTGTTGTGTACTGCAGTCGAATGGTTGATTCAACACTTCAGGGCAATAAGTCTTCGCTTGTCTATTCTTGGTTAACAAAATACGGATACCTTAAGCCTAGCTACGCTGTTGTCCATTATAGGAAGGTCGATAGGAATAAAGTTCATTGTTTCTGAAGGACAAGTTCTTAAAGCATCTTTTATTACAATACATTCTGTTGGCTGATCTTTCCGACATCTTGGTGTGATTGTAATCCGGGGGAAAAGACCAGTGCTACCAGAACCTCACTCTGGTGGTGTCAAATGTATTCCTCGACCTTTCTTTGAAATTATTTGACATGGGGTCGAACCAGAGAGCCATATGATCTGATACCACGGGAACCAGTAGCCCGCAGTGCAGAGTTTCGGACTTTGTTTTGTCTCGGTTGTATTCAGGGGGCTTCAGTGCAAACCCTAACTCACGGGAAGAAATTGTTGCTTAATAGACAAATGCACGGATTTTTGGATAAGTTCGGTACTGTTCCCGAGATTACAGAAACCCCGCAGAGGAGTGACTATGGGACTAAGGCCTCACCAACCCGCCTCACCAACCCGTATACCTAGACTAAGGGTGTCGGATGTTTTTCTCCCTGAATGTGTAGAATAAATGAGAAATGTGCTGGGTGGAATGCGGATAGATAAGATTTACCTTCCTTGGTAATGTTCAGGTTTTACTCTGTTCATGCCAGAATACAACCTACCGATTACGTCTCTAGGTGCGGTTGCAGAATCAATCGATGAACGTGTAGGAACCCTCTCACCACCGCACAAAGGGACAGTAGTGAGAGGTCTAACAGCTCAACCGTGAAATAAGGCCAACACGGCAGGTGTTCACTTAAAGCTCTTTGACATATCTGAACTTTGTAAATGTATGTAGTAATTGAAGTTCACCATGTCATAGAACCCATAAGTGAACATACTTAAGGGCCCTTCACACGATCACACTTTATTTGCGTAAAGTCTAATGAAAAAGTGAAATGAGATTTCATCCGTAGGACAAAAAAGAGAATAAAGGTCATATGATTTATATTTTTTGTGTTTATACGATTGTATAAAACAATAACAAAGTAAGATGGAAACAGCTGTTTCACTTTCTTTGTATGTGTCAAATTTCCATCCGTATTTTCTTTCAATATGTGATGGTTTCATTACATATTGCGTTTAGACAATCCCATCTTTTCTATACAACATTTTGACAGATCATATTACATGTGTAATACCCTACGACAGATGTCGTGTTTCCAACACATTCCGTTTCCAGATAGGTTTAGAGTTTAAGGAAATTAATAGCAGTTATATAACAGCGGTAGTTCAAAATTTTGAATCTTATACGACTAGACAATGGATTTTTTAAGAATGCATTTACTAATATACCTTTGTAAACCTATTATTAGGATCATGAGTGTAAACCACAAAGTAAAAGTACTTATATTTTCAACACACAAAGTGTCGTTAAAACTGACATCTCATTAACAAACTGCCAGATGGCCTAATATTTCTGACTACGACTGTTTGAACAAAAACAAAAACGTTTGTCGCCTATTATTTAATGATTTTAAGAATTCTATAGAAAACAGTATGTTTTTAATATTCACATTCGATTGTACAGGATAATAATAATAATAATAATAAATTGATTTATTAAATTAGTTTTGTTATAAGTTAATATAATAAAAATAAATAAACCTAAATTTGTTTTAAATACTCAATTACAATATTACGCGAATTACTTTCAAATTTTTTTGTTAGTAAATTAATATAAATTAAAAAAAATATATATATAGTAGTAGTAGTAAGTAGTAGATACAAATCATATATATATTTACAATCCTTCACCAGTATAGTCAAATCAAATGCATTTTGGTGATTTTACAAATCAAAAAGCAATTCACAAAAGAAACAAACAATTCGTGTAACAAAAGCATTAAAACCAAATATTTTTTTGTTGTTTTTTTTCATTTCATTTTTTTTTTTTTTTGGTGGAAAAAACTAAATTAAATTAATTTCTTGCGTAGAGAGTCAATTTCAAATGAAACATTTAACAAAAACAAAAATAAAAAATTTAAAGAACAGTATTAGTTTTTATAATTTAATACGTCAAAAAAAGCGTAAGCAACTACACAATATAGAAACAAGGGGGCGGGGCAGGAGGGATTAAAAACAAAACATTGATTTGAAATTGACTCTTGATAGTTTTTTTATGATTTATGGGGTTTTTGTTAATTAAACAAAAACAAATTTCAAGTATTTTTTGTTATTTAGAAAAAATTAAAGTTTTTTTTTTTTTAATTAAAGTGACAATTGAAAATAATTAAACAATTAATTGTAAGAATAATAAAATTAATTGCGTTTTGTTCAGTTTGTTTGTCGTTAAAAGCATCAAAAATGAATGCATTTCAAAATCAAGAACTTCTAGAGAAAAAAAATGCAGTCAAAAAAATTACAATTAAATTTAAATTAAAGCAAAAATATCAATTAATAAATAATTAAGTTATAGATTAAAAAAACAAAGCACATTAAACAAATTTAAATAAAAATAATTATTTCAAAAAAATTTAAATAAAAATCATTTAGAATTTGTCACATTCCTGGTACACGAATCAATCAACCAATTAAAATAATTATTATTAATTAACAATTGTTTATAAAAAAACAAAAAGTATAATTAAAAAAAATACAAGAAATTGTTGTTTTTTGTTTTTTTCATAATTTTTTTTTTAATGAAGAAGTTTTGAATTGAATTTGATTTAGTTTTTTTTTAGATTTTTATTTTTGTGGTTACCTTTAAAATTAGGTTGCTTTTTGTTAAGCCTTCTTTGTCTTTTCTGTGCATTCTCCCTCTTCGATCAGCACTTTTTTTCTGTAGATTCTGCAGAATCTAGAACCATAATGATTTGATTTTGTTTATATAAAGCCCTGATCAACTAAATTATTTATTTAAATTGTTTTTTTTTTTTTTTGTTTTTTTTTAATAAATATTTTTTTTTTTGTTTTAACATATTTTTTTTAAGTTTAAAAATGTTTTACACACATTCATTAAATATAACATTAGTATAAAAAAAAAAAACTTAAAAAGAACTCTCACAAAAACACAGTTTTAAATACAGTTTTACGTTTAAAAAACACAAACCAAAAAAATAAAATTCTATGCTTTTTAAATTATTTATTAGTAATAAAACCAAGAATTATTAAAACATTAAAAAAATAATTATTTAATACTTGTGTTGTTTAAAATTAATTTGTTAATGTTTTATTATTAATTTTTCATATTTTTGGTATTTGATTTTGTAATCTAACTGCAATTAAGTGTTTGAGTATGTTGTTATTGTTTTTATTGTTTGTAATGTTGTTTTTGGAATTTGTTTAATCAAACAATAAATAAATTAAAAACAAATTATATTCAATAAATCATATCAAAATAAAAGAAATTATTTTGAGTTTATGTCTTTTGTAGTGAATTGTTATAATAAATGATGATTGTATGAAATCATATTTATTTTCGAATTATTTATGATCAAAAATATTCCTTTAAATATTTTAAATAAAAACAACTATTATGTTTATTTAAAAAAATAATAATTAGCCACCTACTGCTTAAGATTAAGGCTAAACAATTAAATATCTCTGTTTAAAACCAAAAAATATCGAAAAATTCAAAATCCAAATGTGAAATAGTTGGCATCACTGTTTTACCTTAAACTCTTTTGAAACGAGCAACATTTTTCCAGCCACTGCATTTTTATATTTTCAACTTACAAGATCATTGATGTACACATTAACTCCATAAGTAAGCTTTAGGAATGGTTGATACCTTGTTTTCATAATCCACTTTAAAAAATTTTCAATATAACCAATTAAAACCATTTTTTAACAAAAAATAGCGATAATCCACCACACCCGACTATGTGTTAAACGGTCCTATAGAATTTAATTAACTGATTTAATCCTGTTCAGTTCTAGTTCAGTTCTAGTTCAATTCTAGTTCAATTCTAGTTCAGTTCTAGTTCAGTTCTAGTTCAGTTCTAGTTCAGTTCTAGTTCAGTTCTAGTTCAGTTCTAGTTCAGTTCTAGTTCAGTTCTAGTTCAGTTCTAGTTCAGTTCTAGTTCAGTTCTAGTTCAGTTCTAGTTCAGTTCTAGTTCAGTTCTAGTTCAGTTCTAGTTCAGTTCTAGTTCAGTTCTAGTTCAGTTCTAGTTCAGTTCTAGTTCAGTTCTAGTTCAGTTCTAGTTCAGTTCTAGTTCAGTTCTAGTTCAGTTCTAGTTCAGTTCTAGTTCAGTCTAGTTCAGTTCTAGTTCAGTTCTAGTTCAGTTCTAGTTCAGTTCTAGTTCAGTTCTAGTTCAGTTCTAGTTCAGTTCTAGTTCAGTTCTATTTCAGTTCTAGTTCAGTCTAGTTCAGTTAGTTCTAGTTCAGTTCTAGTTCAGTTCTAGTTCAGTTCTAGTTCAGTTCTAGTTCAGTTCTAGTTCAGTTCTAGTTCAGTTCTAGTTCAGTTCTAGTTCAGTTCTAGTTCAGTTCTAGTTCAGTTCTAGTTCAGTTCTAGTTCAGTTCTAGTTCAGTTCTAGTTCAGTTCTAGTTCAGTTCTAGTTCAGTTCTAGTTCAGTTCTAGTTCAGTTCTAGTTCAGTTCTAGTTCAGTTCTAGTTCAGTTCTAGTTCAGTTCTAGTTCAGTTCTAGTTCAGTTCTAGTTCAGTTCTAGTTCAGTTCTAGTTCAGTTCTAGTTCAGTTCTAGTTCAGTTCTAGTTCAGTTCTAGTTCAGTTCTAGTTCAGTTCAGTTCTAGTTCAGTTCTAGTTCAGTTCTAGTTCAGTTCTAGTTCAGTTCTAGTTCAGTTTAGTTCAGTTCTAGTTCAGTTCTAGTTCAGTTCTAGTTCAGTTCTAGTTCAGTTCTAGTTCAGTTCTAGTTCAGTTCTAGTTCAGTTCTAGTTCAGTTCTAGTTCAGTTCTAGTTCATTTCTAGTTCAGTTCTAGTTCAGTTCTAGTTCAGTTCTAGTTCAGTTCTAGTTCAGTTCTAGTTCAGTTCTAGTTCAGTTCTAGTTCAGTTCTAGTTCAGTTCTAGTTCAGTTCTAGTTCAGTTCTAGTTCAGTTCTAGTTCAGTTCTAGTTCAGTTCTAGTTCAGTTCTAGTTCAGTTCTAGTTCAGTTCTAGTTCAGTTCTAGTTCAGTTCTAGTTCAGTTCTAGTTCAGTTCTAGTTCAGTTCTAGTTCAGTTCTAGTTCAGTTCTAGTTCAGTTCTAGTTCAGTTCTAGTTCAGTTCTAGTTCAGTTCTAGTTCAGTTCTAGTTCAGTTCTAGTTCATTCTAGTTCAGTTCTAGTTCAGTTCTAGTTCAGTTCTAGTTCAGTTCTAGTTCAGTTCTAGTTCAGTTCAGTTCTAGTTCAGTTCTAGTTCAGTTCTAGTCTAGTTCAGTTCTAGTTCAGTTCTAGTTCAGTTCTAGTTCAGTTCTAGTTCAGTTCTAGTTCAGTTCTAGTTCAGTTCCAGTTCAGTTCCAGTTCAGTTCTAGTTCAGTTCTAGTTTAGATCCCTTAATATTTCGTAGATTTTATATATAACTTGTTTACGTCCAGTTCGAATGTCTTGAATTACAACAATTAAACATTATGAAGACTATTTCATATACATGCTAAAGCCAAACTTTCGATAGTGAAATCTGTGGGAAGTAAAATCTATTACGACTACAATCACACTATACGGTCGGACAAAGATCAGTGGATCTAGGGAGGACTTAGCTACAGACCCTTTATATCGATAGCTAAACTGCAGTTATAAAGGGACTGTAAAAGTACTCTTCTAACTTTATATAGTTCTATCTTTATTAAAACTGTATGAAGCTATATAGTGCAGAGCAGAACATTGTTACAGGGTTCGGGAGGAAGAAGTGTCAGGGGAATTAAAACTTCAATTTGTCATAATTATAGGGCGACTTAGTAATGGTCACGTGTTAAAGATATTTTTTCAATTAAAATTTTAAAACTTTCATCATGTTACACTTCAACGACTGTCACAATTTTGTTGCTATAAAAATTATTATGTACAAATTAGCCGCTAATAAGTACCAGAGTGTGTCTCTCAGCTATAATTTCATGTTAAGTTGTTTTAATTAATTGAAATCACAACTGATTAACAACATTGTTTTAGAATTTTTAAATAATTTTACAAAAAGAAAACATGTTACTGTGGGCGTTTTTATTATATATATTTTTTTGTAAATCATCTTTAAGTGACTGAGAAATACAGAATAAATTAGTATTAATGTTAATTGCTGTCAAATATTATAAAAAAAATCTTCAACATCATGTCAGGCTATTGAAACTGAAATTGAATTTGTTTGTTTGTTTTTTTTTTAAGACAGTTTCTATTTTAAAGGGAATAATTTTAAAATTAAACAAATAAATTGAAATAGAAACCGAATGAATTTATAATGACGTGATTTCATTTAAACTACTTGATAAATCGTTTTTAATTAATGCCTTAATTAAAACAATATCATATTCGCAAGAAAACAACAATAAGAAAAAAAAAAGAATGAAATATTTAAACAAAATTATGAAAGAAGGAAAAAAAAAAATTTCAACAAATAAATTAATAAATAAATAGCTTGAGATAAATAAATAAATATTAGACATTCATTGTAAGAAAACAATAGAAGAATTTAATTAGAAATGTATACGTCTATTACAGAGTTTGAGGCTGATAGTTAGAAAGACTAAAGGCTAGAGGCCATTTTTGTTTTCTAGATGATTAAGTCCAGCATGAAATGGCGCAGGTTTGCAAGGTTTATAAATAAGTGAAAAATTAAAATTAAATCAAGTGATTTTTTATATTAAGTATTATCATGTAGTAGTAGTAGTTGTAGTTGTAGAGAGTATAGATAGTAATTATTATAAATTTATACAAAATTATTATAATTTATGTAAATGTTTGTGTGGAAGATTTTCCAAGTATTTAGAGGTATTTAAATATAAAATAAATCCAGGAAAAACACAATAGATAACTTGTAATAATTGAATTAAACATTAACATTTAGGAAAACAACATTTATACCAACACTAAACAACAAATTAAATAAAAATTACAAAATGAAGGACAAATATTGAAATGAAAACTCCTAACGTTAATATTTTCACAAATAAATGAGGGGTAAAAGAGCGAAAGAGAGAAAGTTGTTGGGTAGGATTTGAGGAAAAAGAGAAACAAACATGACAGTTGACATTAATACAATAATCACCTTCTAGTCTTTTTGGTTAAAAAAAACATAAAAAACACTTAATATAAAAACTAAAAAAAAGAAAATTTATAAAAAAAAGTATAGATTTTTCGTCATTTGGTTTTTGATTTCTTTTTTAAATTCTTATTTTTTGGTTTTAGTAAGAGAGAGAAAATTGTTTGACGAAAGTAAGAAACGCAAGGAAATATTAAAACTGAGGTTTGTTTATAATTCAAAACAAAATTAGGATAGTAGAACACAAAATATAACAAAAAAAGAAAAGAACGCATAATTATAGGCCAAGGCCAAGGCAAAGGCAAAGGCATCAATCAGGCAACAACTAGAGATTGAAGAAAAATAATGGCCATTTTAATACTTACATATACTTCCTCCCATTGTGATACGTAGCGCACCAGCCTGGACAAGCGCAACAATCGGACCAATGATAAGAGTTTAGCTAAGCGTAATATTCGTAGGGCACGACCGGCATGTAAAATTTGAAAGGAATCGGAGAAGTCCTGCAATTTCATAATCTGAATTAACGACGATGCGATCTGTTTTAGCGCACCTACTTACTTGATTAAAAATCAAAAATATATAATCCAATGGTATCGATGAAATTAAATCAAGAAAAAACCATGTTCTTAAATAGTGTTTGGCTATAAGCTTGGGATCCAAAATAACTTGTTCAGCGTTGTCTTGTTGCATAATTCCTAAAAAGGGAATAGGAAATTGTAAGTTTTTTTAAGAAAATATATCTGCAATAAGGTAAAAATTAAACAAAATCTTTAGGAACAATTTTAGAATCTAGTCCTAGAACTTATTCTGAATAGCAACTTTGAAACTAGTCAATTCAGTTCTAGTTTACTTCTATTTTAGTTCAAGTTTATTTCTAGTTCAGTTCTAGTTCAGTTCTAGTTCAGTTCTAGTTCAGTTCTAGTTCAGTTCTAGTTCAGTTCTAGTTCAGTTCTAGTTCAGTTCTAGTTCAGTTCTAGTTCAGTTCTAGTTCAGTTCTAGTTCAGTTCTAGTTCAGTTCTAGTTCAGTTCTAGTTCAGTTCTAGTTCAGTTCTAGTTCAGTTCTAGTTCAGTTCTAGTTCAGTTCTAGTTCAGTTCTAGTTCAGTTCTAGTTCAGTTCTAGTTCAGTTCTAGTTCAGTTCTAGTTCAGTTCTAGTTCAGTTCTAGTTCAGTTCTAGTTCAGTTCTAGTTCAGTTCTAGTTCAGTTCTAGTTCAGTTCTAGTTCAGTTCTAGTTCAGTTCTAGTTCAGTTCTAGTTCAGTTCTAGTTCAGTTCTAGTTCAGTTCTAGTTCAGTTCTAGTTCTAGTTCTAGTTCAGTTCTAGTTCAGTTCTAGTTCAGTTCTAGTTCAGTTCTAGTTCAGTTCTAGTTCAGTTCTAGTTCAGTTCTAGTTCAGTTCTAGTTCAGTTCTAGTTCAGTTCTAGTTCAGTTCTAGTTCAGTTCTAGTTCAGTTCTAGTTCAGTTCTAGTTCAGTTCTAGTTCAGTTCTAGTTCAGTTCTAGTTCAGTTCTAGTTCAGTTCTAGTTCAGTTCTAGTTCAGTTCTAGTTCAGTTCTAGTTCAGTTCTAGTTCAGTTCTAGTTCAGTTCTAGTTCAGTTCTAGTTCAGTTCTAGTTCAGTTCTAGTTCAGTTCTAGTTCAGTTCTAGTTCAGTTCTAGTTCAGTTCTAGTTCAGTTCTAGTTCAGTTCTAGTTCAGTTCTAGTTCAGTTCTAGTTCAGTTCTAGTTCAGTTCTAGTTCAGTTCTAGTTCAGTTCTAGTTCAGTTCTAGTTCAGTTCTAGTTCAGTTCTAGTTCAGTTCTAGTTCAGTTCTAGTTCAGTTCTAGTTCAGTTCTAGTTCAGTTCTAGTTCAGTTCTAGTTCAGTTCTAGTTCAGTTCTAGTTCAGTTCTAGTTCAGTTCTAGTTCAGTTCTAGTTCAGTTCTAGTTCAGTTCTAGTTCAGTTCTAGTTCAGTTCTAGTTCAGTTCTAGTTCAGTTCTAGACTAGACTTCTATGTCAGATTAGTATCAGTTCTAAACCAATTCAAGTTCAGTTCTAGACCAATTCCAATTCTAGTTCAGTGCTATATCACAAACAAAATCGGACAAACCGAACAATAACTAGAACAAAACATGCTTTCGGAATTAATTTTTGTAAAATCCTATGAGTTCCAAATTTTTATTTAATTTTCACATTAAATAATGGTAAAAAATGTAACTTCAAAAAAAAAAAAAAAAAATTACCTGTTCTAAAATTGACTACAATATCTATTAAAAAAATAGTATCACTTAGGCAGTTAAAGGCAATCCATCGTGTGCTTAGATCATCGTTGAAGAATGATATTGCGACTGGCAGGATAATAAGATTTGCTACTAATAATAAAAGCATACAAAGGTCCCAATAAAACCTGCAACAAAAAATTCAAATTATACACAATTTCTAAAAATTAATCAAAATTTTTATAGCAATAAATTACCTGAATGAACTGCATGGGTGAATAACCCAATGTCCGGAAGTCTTCTGACGTATTCTTTCTTTGACTAAAGCCTTGCGGCTGCCAAATAGTTTCATGGCCAACCGATTGTCGGTTGGTTGAAACCATGATTGCAATTGACTTTTTAAGAAATTCGCTGAAACTTTTTCCGAAACAATGGGGATGGAAGGCATTGGCTCCTCTTTCGGAGTCCCGTACAACGATACGTCATCAAAGTGAACCTACAAATGTGATTTTTTAATATGAAATCAGCAAATAGTTTACGCTAAATGCCACCTTTAAGTGACACATGTAAATTATTACTCTTCTATTTCTTTTTTTGCAAAATTATTTAACAAAAAAATTATAACAAAAGAATTTCAATAAAAAAAGCCAAGTTCGTGAGCTGTATGCCCCGTAGTTGCTACTAGAGTAATATGAATATGAATGTGAATGCGAATATGTGTGTATGAATGGAATGTGAATGTAAATTGTCTGACTGAAATGTGATTTTAAATTGACATAAACTAAACGAAAAAATTAACTAAATTAAAATAAACTAAATGAATTGTTATAAAAATATACAAACATTTATATTTTATTTTCACTAAATACTACAAACTACATACATATGTATACAAACGTATGTGTTCTATAAATAAATAAAATTGAAATATTTTAACAATTTCTAAACAAATAGTTACAAATCAAAATATTTACAAAAAAACACAAATTACACACGTTTGCACTCATTTGTATAACGAGTGCGATTGATTTGTTTTTGCAATAAAAGTTGAATTTAATTAAACATTTGCTTTATAATTTAATCAATTATGATGATGATAATGTTGAGATAATAATGATTATGACGATATGAAACCAAATAGGCTTTCAATGATGAGTGAATGAGTGATTGTGATGATTGTAGAATGCATTGATGTTGTTGAGTGGTTTGTGTTGGTGGTGTGGTGGGCGTTCGATGGATTGGGTGTCACCTAATCTTTCTATGTGTATAAAAATAAACCTTTGTGCTTGCCATTTCGTTTCCTTGGTCGCATATTAGTAAAGCCTCATCATCAAAAGCTGTTACCAATGAATCGGTGCAGGTATTCTCAAATGATCTCCTTAAATCGTTCTCGTTGACATTTAGTACTGAACAGTACGAGCATCGAACAGAGGAGTCTTCACTATCACGACGTAGTAGTCTGAAAAGAATGGAGAAATAAGAAATTTATTTTAAATATTCAAATAAAAGAGTTCAAAACTAACACTTGCTTTTAGTATTGTCTATTTTGCAAGTATTTTTACGGTTCAGTAACTTTTTCTTAAGCCCCCTTTAGCATAAATAATAAAGTAAAAAAGATTAAATCTGCATGATCGGTCTGTGAATCAAACGTGATCAGTAAACTGAACATGAAAGATTGGAAACTACAAACTCGGAATATTTGGCTCGCTTTAGTCATCAGTAGTAGTTCTTTAGTTAGTAAGTTAGTTAGTTAGTTAGTTAGTTAGGTAGTTAGTTAGTTAGTTAGTTAGTTAGTTAGTTAGTTAGTTAGTTAGTTAGTTAGTTAGTTAGTTAGTTAGTTAGTTAGTTAGTTAGTTAGTTAGTTAGTTAGTTAGTTAGTTAGTTAGTTAGTTAGTTAGTTAGTTAGTTAGTTAGTTAGTTAGTTAGTTAGTTAGTTAGTTAGTTAGTTTAGTTAGTTAGTTAGTTAGTTAGTTAGTTAGTTAGTAAGTTAGTCACTTTGAAAGGAGATTGTATGTTACATGAACTACGTACAAATACACCAAGACTTCCGTCGGTTCTTTTGTGCGCTCCTTTACTAGTATCTCTAATGGGAATAAAACCCACAACCTCCAGTCTTACAGATTAGAACACTAACCACTAACCCACCGGAGGCACATAATTTTCTTTTTAAATAAATACCAACAAACTTTAGAAAAAAAAAGAATTAAACTTTACCCAAAAAGTTTTTGTACTTTTCCAAAAATTTTACCAGGAAATTGAAAAGAAAAACAAAAAAAAAAAAAAACGCTAAATAAATATGACGTTGCCATGTGACAACAACAGTTATTATTTGTTCCCAAAACAAATATGTACACATTCAGTCACTCTCACATTCACTCACTTATTCAGTAACTCATTCACTCTCACTATAATAAAATGAATTAAACTGGAAACTGTAAACAAATAATAACAACAACAACAGCAATATAAAGAATAACAAAACAAACAACAAAGTTTTGTTTATCCCCAATAGTGATTGTTATACATTTATAGTTTTTGAAGGATGACAATACTTGGGGCAAAAACTCAAAAACACACACAAACACACACAAATGAACACATAAAACTATTATATTTATAACAAAACAACAATATACATATGTTTGTGCTGTTCAAACTACAACATCATCATCATACTCGAGATTGGAAAAAAAACTAAAACTTTTTGTATAGTAAAGCAGAGCTTTGATTATCCGAAAGTTTCAAGGCAATATAAATATGTACGTTACAAGTATTTGAGTACTCACTCTATAAATATAAATAATACAATTAATTTTTATCATAATTGTGCATTTGATAGTGAAAAAAGTGTGTGTGTGTTTTTTTTGTTGGTTCATTGTTGTTCTCTATCTGATCTATAGAAATGTTATATTTTTTGGCCGATATAGAAATATGTAAAAGTTAGTTTTTTTCTGTTTTATTTTAAAATTGCTAATTTTAAACAATATTTGCCCGTCAACAAACACATGTTAACCGCAAATTAACCAAACAACCACACAATCTCCACTACTAGTGGCTATGCAAACAATAACAGGGGTTCTTAAGTTGTTATATACTTAATAGTCGATATACTATACAAGGGTGTATGAGGCAGGTGTAGAAATATAAAATTTTGAAATTCATAGTATTAACTTATAAAGAAAATAGTACTTTTTAGGTTTCAAAGTACTAAACTAATTTCTAGACTGTGGACTGATTATAAACTAGACAATATAGACTGAATATAGACTAGACTATAAGATAGACAAGAATGTGGACTAGACTATATACTATACTGTAGGCTGTACTATAGACTAGACTATAGACTAGACTGTAGACTAGACTATAGACAAGACTATAGACTATAGGCAAGACTATAGACTAGACTATAGACTAGACTATAGACAAGACTATAGACTAGACTATAGACTAGACTATAGACTAGACTATAGACTAGACTATAGGCTAGACTATAGACTAGACTATAGACTAGACTATAGACGACATAGACTAGCGATAGACTAGACTATAGACTAGACTAGGCTAGACTAGACTAGACTAGACTATAGACTAGACTGTAGACTAGACTATAGACTAGACTATAGACTAGACTATAGACTAGACTATAGACTAGACTATAGACTAAACTAACTAACTAACTAACTAACTAACTAACTAACTAACTAACGAACTAACTAACGAACGAACTAACTAACGAACGAACGAACTAACTAACTAACTAAACGAACTAACGAACGAACGAAACGAACGAACGAACGAACGAACGAACGAACGAAAACGAACGAACGAACGAACGAAGAACGAAACGAACGAACGAACGAACGAACGAACGAACGAACGAAACGAAACGAACGAACGAACGAACGAACGAACGAACGAACGAACGAACGAACGAAAACGAACGAAACGAAGAAAACTAACGAACTAACTAACTAACTAACTAACTAACTAACTAACTAACTAACTAACTAACTACTAACTAACTAACTAACTAACTAACTAACTAACTAACTAACTAACTAACTAACTAACTAACTAACTAACTAACTAACTAACTAACTAACTAACTAACTAACTAACTAACTAACTAACTAACTAACTAACTAACTAACTAACTAACTAACTAACTAACTAACTAACTAACTAACTAACTAACTAACTAACTAACTAACCAACTAACCAACTAACTAACTAACTAACTAACTAACTAACTAACTAACTAACTAACTAACTAACTAACTAACTAACTAACTAACTAACTAACTAACTAACTAACTAACTAACTAACGAATGAACTAACGAATCTATAACAATAATATTGATTATCCATTTCGCCTTAAGAAAAGATCAATTAAAATAAAAAAATAAAAGATGTACTGATTCGATTCGAAGATTACTGATCGGATGATGAATTTCGATTTCAAAAAATATTACTCATACCACCCGTAATCTCATAATATATAATTACATCTGTACATATCGCTCATTTACAAAAATGCAACCATAATCCAAAAAACTTTATGAGAAAAATGGCTATGGACCAATGACGCTTTGGGTTCATAGAACTTTATTCTTTATAACAATTTCGATCCTACATTATCCACTATCCGATCCTACAAACAAATTGTTTGTGAAACTCTGAAATTACAGTTCTTTTCTTCTCTACTCTTAATTAAAACACACAATTTCTGTTTAGTTTCTGAATTGTTTGTTACTGTTTTTTTTTTCTCTGCTTCTCCCTCATTTCTTGTTTCCAATTTTCTTTATGATTTTGTTGTTAAAATGTTTTTGTTATTATAATTATAATGAAAGTGTTGTTAGCATTTTATTTTGTTTTGTTTGTGCGCAAACTCTACAAACAAAATAATTATACCAACAAAAAAAAAAAAAAAAAAAACTATATAAATATAATAATGACAATAATAACGGTAAACTAACAACTAAACGTTTATATGAATATATAAAAGATTTGCAAAACGAGGACGAAAATCAACTGTACTTGACACTGTCATTTTGTGGAAATAATCTACTTTTCTCAGTTGAACGATCGATTGACCGAAAACTCTTACACTCGAGAGCAATTGATCGGCCACATGAAGTCAATTGAAAAAGTTTTTAATTAAGTTTTTTTTTTGCAATTTGTTTGTTGTTTTACAGCTAAAGGCAAAAAAAGGAAAGAAACAAAATTACTCTGTATATTTAGGTGCTACCTGTTTTGCGGCTAAATATGTTTATTATTATTTTAATTTAATATTCATGTCACACATGTTTTGTTTATAAATAATTTACTACTTTGGGTCTATAAAAATTTAACTAAAATACAAACACAGTCGAAATGCTCACAACAACAAAATAAAAACGTGGAAGCAATCACGATATATTGATATAGTTTTGTAAATATTTTAATAGTGTTTGCCTATTAGCTTTGGAATTACAATTATTTGTAAAAAATAATAATAAAATGTTAATATTCGCGCATTGTTTAAATATTTTTTCATATAACAAAATTCTTGTGATACTTAAAGTTAAATGATAAAGTTTGGGCCCAAAATTTTGCATTTTTTTGAATTGTCATCCTCAGACATTGCAGTTGGAGTAAGAATTTTATGAATATTTGTGTTTTCTTGAAATTTATTTTATCTTTTCTTACGAAAATGATACATATCATAAATAAATATTAATTTTTCAGTATTTACTTTAAGAAGTACATTTATCTTAAAAAAACAAAAAACTTCTGAAAACGGTAGCCGAAATCCGATACTCGTCCGATTTTGGTAAAGCTCAAATCAGAGTTTCCCAACCCAAGTTATTGTAGATTCTCAATGAGACCCATATAAAGAGACAAGTACTATGATAGTGGACTTTGCCTATAGACTAGGCTACATACTAAATTATAGAAAAGACTATAGATTAGACTATAAACTAGACTATAGACTAGACTATAGACTAGACTATAGACTAGACTATAGACTAGACTATAGACTAGACTATAGACTAGACTATAGACTAGACTAGACTAGACTATAGACTAGACTATAGACTAGACTATAGACTAGACTATAGACTAGACTATAGACTAGACTATAGACTAGACTATAGACTAGACTATAGACTAGACTATAGACTAGACTATAGACTAGACTATAGACTAGACTATAGACTAGACTATAGACTAGACTATAGACTAGACTATAGACTAGACTATAGACTAGACTATAGACTAGACTATAGACTAGACTATAGACTAGACTATAGACTAGACTATAGACTAGACTATAGACTACTATAGACTAGACTATAGACTAGACTATAGACTAGACTATAGACTAGACTATAGACTAGACTATAGACTAGACTATAGACTAGACTATAGACTAGACTATAGACTAGACTATAGACTAGACTATAGACTAGACTATA